CGAGCACTCTCCCAAGGTCTGGGAAGGGACCATGGAAGATGTTCGAGAAGGGTCGGCGATCGGTCCCTTCTTCGACGAGGCCGAAGTCTCGGAGTTCGTCGGCGATGATCGTTGGATCCCTACTCAGCGCTTTGAAGTGGTTCAAAAGAACAAAGTCAGGGGAGTTGACAGTGCTACCTCAAATGGGATCAACATGGCGACGATCGTCACCGAGAAACTCGAACTCCCCTCGACGGACGCGAACGTGGCGGTGATCAAGTGGCTGCGCTCGCGGCTGCCGAAGTCCCCGCTACGTGGTTGGGTCCTGGACGAGCGGCGAGCCTATCGGCAGGTGCCGATCTCTCCGGCCCATCGCAAGTGGAGTGTGGTCGCTCTGAAGGATCCGGCCACGGGAAAGGTGGCGTTCTTCGTGATGGTCGGCCACTCCTTCGGCTTGGTCTCGGCCGTCTATAACTACAACCGCCGCTCGGCTGCGATTACCGACATTCTAAGGCGCGTGTTCATCGTGGCCGGCTTCAACTTCTATGACGACAAGTACGGCTTCGAGCCGGAGGCCACGGCAGATAGTGCGTTCGCGCTGGCCGAGAAAGTCCATTGGTGGCTCGGGGCCCGGTTCGATCAGCAGAAGCTCCAGCTCTGCTCGGATCCCACGATCCTGGGCGTGACCTATGACCTCGATCAGTACTTGCTCAAGATCAAGAAGTCCAGGAAGCAGGAGCTCTTCGACGAGATCTCGTCGATCCTGGAACACGAAGAGATGTCTCCCGGCCAAGCCGGGAAGCTCAGAGGAAAGCTGATGTTCGGCGCTTCGCAGCTCTGGGGGAAGATCGGCCGAGCCTTCCTGAGATCTCTGTCGGAGAGGCAATACTCCCGGAAGACGGTCAGTACGAGCCTATCGCCTGCTCTCCTCTACTCCCTCTACAAGTGGCGGACGCTCGTGATGCATGGGCCTCCGAGGCCTATCCCCAGTTCGGGGCCGCGGAAGTCCGACGTGGTGATCTTCACGGATGGATCGGCGCCGAGCTCGAACCCCAAGGATCCCTCTTCTGAGATGATTGGAGGAGTGATGTTCACTAGGGACGATCAGCCTAGGCAATTCGCCTCGGGGGTGTCACGGCAGATCATGTCGAGGTGGTTCCCCCGGAAAACCCAAATTTGCATGATCGAACTTTTGGCCGCGGTCGCTGCGATACAGACTTTCAGGGAAGAGATCCGTGGAAAGCTGGTCCTCCTCTTTATCGATTCCGAGCCTGTAGAGGCAGCTTTGATCAAAGGCTACTCTGCAAAAGAGGACGTCTGCGAGCTCGTAGGAATTTTCTGGGAGCTTGTTCTGGAGCTTAGGTGCTCTGTTTATATCGATCGGGTACCGACCGATTCGAACCCGGCGGATAATCCCTCTCGTGGTGATGTCGCTACAGGTCTGATGTGTGGTTGGATCACGGTCCTCTCGGACTTTCCGAAAGGAGTTTGAGGGCCTGGGAATATCGCTTGTCTGATGTGTCCGATCGGATGATGTTGCGGTCTGTGGCGAATGCCATGGCGCACCCCTCGGCGATCGGGGGTCCGATCGGACTTGTGAAGATCAAGTGAAATTTTGATGATCCGACTGTGGCCGACTCCCACGTTGCGGTCGCATGAAAAAGGTGCGATCGCCGATAGTCTGTTCAGTGAGGGCACCGAACGTCTGCGATCGTAGTAACTGGTCTCCTAATTATCGGTCTGGTGGGTAGGAATTAGGAGATCAGTTTCGCGATCGTTGGAACAGACTTGATCTATTTTCTCCGTGGCCATTTTGGCGATAGCCGATCGGGCCATACCGAAAAATCCCACCCTCTCCACCCTATCTGTTCTTTTCGGTATGCGGGATCCTCGCAACGACGTTGGCCTTCAAGCGCTCGCTTTCGGCGACACAGATCAGCTCTGCCGTCCCTGCGTGGATTGCGGCCTGTTCACCGGCTGCTTCTGCGACGGGGACGGCCAAGACGAATGTTACGCAGCCGTTCGAGTCCCCCGCGAAGAGTGGGCTCCCAACCAGCGCACTCCTTTGTGCACGGCTTGCGATCGTCGCCTGGATATGTGTCATTTCTGCCGAAAGACCCCCTGGGTCCCGCCGCCGGCTCATCGTGATCGCGATCGTCACCAGCCGGCCGGCTACGATCACGGGGCAGATCCTCCCCTCAACTGGGATCAAGTGATGGGCGTGCCCTCTGTTCAGCGGCCGGTGCCCAAAGCGCCCCCGGCCAAAGCTCATCGCAACAGAGGCATGGATCAGCCGGTCTACTATGTGGATCCCAAGGCTGGTCCTCCACGCCAAGGCCGAGCGGCTCCGAAAGGGCGTTCTCCTTTGTTCGCCGAGCCTGCTCAGTACATAGTTCCAGGGCAGCCCCCCAGATCGCTCGACGCCGTGCCCGCTGACGTTCACATCAGCGGACCGGCTCACTATGTCATCCCGGGGCAGCCCCCGCGGCGGCTGGATCAGCTCCCGCCCGGTACGCAGCTCCCTCCCGGCACCGAGATCATGGTGCCTACGAGGAGCTCGAGTCCGCCGACCAAAGCGCCGCCGACTCCCGCCCAGATCGCGGCGTACCAGGCTTCTCGCGCTACTCCCGCTCGGACGAAAGCCAAAGCTACTCCTGATGCAGCTTTTCGTGCTGTCGAGCGGCAGTTGATCGACTTGCTCGGCGCGGCCCCCCTCGACGACGATCCGATCGAGGAGCCGTCGCCGGAGCCCGATGATCCGATCGAAGACTTTTAATTTTGTTCGCGGGGAATATCGCTTGTCTGATGTGTCCGATCGGATGATGTTGCGGTCTGTGGCGAATGCCATGGCGCACCCCTCGGCGATCGGGGGTCCGATCGGACTTGTGAAGATCAAGTGAAATTTTGATGATCCGACTGTGGCCGACTCCCACGTTGCGGTCGCATGAAAAAGGTGCGATCGCCGATAGTCTGTTCAGTGAGGGCATCGAACGTCTGCGATCGTAGTAACTGGTAACTATATATATATATATATATATATATATATATACATATGACATATGTATTTGTGTATATACATATATATATACACACACACACACACATCTTTTTGTCTTTATGTTTGTATATTTGTGTTCATATTCGTATGTCTATTCATATTCATATTTATATTTGCATGTATAAGTGTGTGTATGTATATATATATATATATATATATACATGTACATCTACTTCTGTGTATTTGCATGCAGTTATACGTCCTTACATCTACCTATACATAATTGACATCCTGTTTTTTGGTCACGCGCTTTGCGGCCCCGGCCCCTCCCTCCTCCATGATCTATGGTCCGGTCCAGGATGCCTTCCCCTGCCCCCTGTGGGGTGGGGTGTGGGGGCCCTCTTGCGTGACTTTTCTTGTCGCGCCAACTGGCATTTTAGCTTCACGGAGGGACACAATGGCTTCACGGCTGAACACACGCACTGAAAGATGACCAAGCTGAAGGCGAACACGCACACATTGCATCATATACGGTCAAGCGTCTGGCGTTCCCGGCTCCCCTGGGCCCACGTGTGCGGAAAGGGGTCGGGGCCGTTGGAGCTGCATCTGGAGGGCGGCCAGGGGAGCCAGACAAGGCCAGCATCGTACGCAAGCCATGACCCCTAAAACGTGGCGCAGTAGCGCATGCTCCTGTTTTCCCCACATCACTGTGTGTGGTTCTTACTTTTCGCCGCCCTCCGCCTTCACTCACTTCCATCACTCACTCCTCCACTCCGTCATTCCCGCAGTTAGCCTACGCACACCATCACGCACACAGCACCGCACAACTCAGCACCGTATAACTCTCTCACACACACCTGTATATAGTACAGTACAACACAGCACACGGCACACAGCCGACATACGCAGCACACACAGGACAACGCAGCACACAGCCGGCGGTGGCTCCGGAAGAATCTAACACGACTAAACGCTCTCATCGAGGGCTCTGTGTGATGCGGCGTGCGCGATACTTTAAGGTCCCAGAGCTTCGGAAGACGAAAGAGAGAGCGAGAGAGAGAGAGAGAGAGAGGCAGAGAGAGCTGGAGCTCGAGCTAGAGCTAATGCTAGTAGAGCTAGAGCTAGTGGAGTCAGAGCTAGTAGAGCTAGAGCTAGTGGAGCTCGAGCTTGAGCTTGTGGAGCTGGAGCCAGTAGAGCCAAAGTTAGTAGAGCTAGAGTTAGTAGAGCTACAGCTAGTAGAGCTCGAGCTGGTAGAGCTAGAGATAGTATAGAGTTAGAGCTAGTATAGAGCTAGAGCTAGAGCTAGACAACACACGCAACACGAACGCATGTGCACGTTCGACAGAGCGGGAACATGCACTATCACCAACATGGCACACACCTAAATACGCAAACACGCGCATTATAACCACTTTCCTCTGAACTCATTTGGTTGTCTGACGGGAGTCATTTTCATGTGGGGTCGGTTATCCGGTCGATTAATTATTTATCTTAACCTGACTCTGAACCCACACCCAATCCAATATCCCGCCTAAATGCAGTCTCTAAGCCGAAAGCAGAACATAAACCGTCAACCCTAACGAACCTACACCCAAAATCCTCCGTAAGCCCGTGTCGACTCGAAGCCTTATAACTTTTAAACCTTACCCACATACCCAAGACTCAAACCCCAAACTGGGCGCCGTAGAACTCCCCGCAGCAGGCTCTTGGACCCTTTCGGGAAAGCATGTGAGGCAACCTTTCTAGAGCCTGCCGAACAACTCGACCGGGGCAACCAAGTTTCCGTCGAGATCCAAGCAGCAGGTTGCAACAGTTGGGTAGCAGGCAAATGGCAAATTGCGATGCTGCAACGCCATCCTGACGACGGGAAGCACAGTAAATGACGTGCAGATTAGTGCTTTCCCTCGCAGCAGGAGATTGCCTCCAGCTACGATGTAGTGGACGGACCAAACGACGAAGGCGGCATCGTTCATGGATCCGGAAGGCTGATAACCAAGAATTTCAGCTTTTGCTGCAAGGGGAAATGTTTACTCGGCCGGGCATCCTTGTGGATGCCTTTCCATCGCCGTATCCAAACGAGGAGGTGGGTCCCGGTGCGGTTTCGACGAAAGTGTTGCTCAGTGCAAGCTGTCAGAAGTAGGCTGCTCGCTATGCCAATGGCGGCGCGAACCCGCCTTGCCCACAGCCAAAGCTTCTGAAAGAGAAGGGCGAACAGCCCAGCCTTCGATCACAGGCCAGATCTCAGCGTTTATACCACGGCCAAACATGAAGGCGGGTGCTGCCGTGATCCGCTGCCAGATCTTCCAGCCTACCGCATCTCCCTGCCATGCAGGCTTGGATTACATTTTCGCCTTGCTTTTGGGTTACAGGGCGCTGCCCTCTGTTGCATGCCTTTTGAGACACGGATGTAGGACTGTCTATGGTTGTTCGTTTCCGACGGTTCCAGCAAGGACCCTCCTGCTGGCATCGACGTGCGCGATGGGTTGTACTACAACGTGCAGCATGTCTGAACTTTCTTCCGCATCCTGCTGACGTTGGCAATTTTCAATGCGCGTGGGCCTCCATGACCCGCTCTCCATGGAGACCAGTTGCAGTCTCGAGACGCCGGATCCAGGGCCAATCGATGTTGCTGTCTTTCACGTTGGGATCCGAGGTACTTCCCCGGAGGCCGACGGATGATTGCTCGATGGATTCAGTGTTTTCCTTTCAATTTTCTTGGGAACCCTAAGTCCTAAGCCCCAAACCCAAGCAGGTTCGAAGCGCGGTCGGTGAGTGTGTCCACGAAGCAACTCAAGAAGGGATTTCGGGCACGACAGCGTGCGCAGGATCTTTGTTGCCGAAGCACCGAGATTATTGTGCGTGTTGAATAGTTTGAGAGTGGCTTGAAGTGAACCTTGCCACGTGAGCCGGGGGGCATACTCTGTGGTCGAAGCCAAGTGTGACATGGGTGTTGATAATAGCATGCCGCGAACCATGCTCGTTACGTGCTTGCATTGACTCTTGCAGCACCGTCGCCCGACAGGCCTCATCGGAATGCCCAGCCCTCTGCACTCAGATGGCCTGGTCGATTACGAGGCGTGGCAGTCGAGCTTTAGATTCTTTCGAAGCTCAATGTGTGGAGGACGGCACCCCATGCACGAAGTCGCAGATGGCCAAGGATGTGCCGGCCCTGGGAATCCCTTAACCGTGCAGGAGGGTCCGGAGGGAGCACCTGACGGCATGATCTACTGATCTGAGCATTTAGGTACGCACGGAGGCATACTGCAAGCAAAGAGCAGAGGAGTGAGGGAAAGGGATGCATTGCCCCGTGCGTAGACGCAGTGTTCCTTAGAGCCTTAGGGACTATCTTTTTCCTGGTACTGTAGTATTTCCTTTCGTGTGATGATCTTTGAGGAGAGGCTTGCTGGCCAGTTGGAGTCCGAATCGCACAAGAATTTATTTGACATGGTTGTGGGTCAAAGCAAGGGGGGAGCCTGCTTCGGAGGAGCAGTAGGCAGGGGCGGCAGAACGAGGCATCGGCTGGGGCGGTCATAGTCAGACCCAAAAGCCGCGCATAGGCTTCATGATCCTCACCACTCACGGTGGCAAGAAGGTCGAAGGCAACATCAGAAACGGCGAACGAGTGCAAGCGACCAGCACCTCTGACGATTTGCCAAGTCACTTTGAGAGGCCCTGCACCTGTGCCAAAGGCGGGCCACAATGAACAGCATCATAGCCACCTGAATCGTGCAAACTCCACACCTCGCAGGTTTCATGCGGCAGCTTTGCGAAGTATCGTTGCAGCGCCAGGGCGCGCACAATGAGCTTTTTCCTCGACCATGCAAAAAGGAGCCAGGAATGAATCATCCAAGCCTCACCCAGAGCTCTGGCACCAAACATGACTTTCTGGCAGAGCAGAGCTCAGGTCGTGAACTTTCTATGCTGGGCTGCAGAACCAGCACACGATGAGCGCAAGCTGATCGGTTTGAAGGCCGAAATGGGATGTAGAGGGCCACTGCGCCGCATGAGAAGGCATGCAGGAGTCACTGGATGTTTCCACTATGTTTCGCATGCGGGTCCATGTGGAGGCCATGTCCGCCTGCTTTGTCGGGACATTCATTGTTGGATTTTGGTACCGCAGTATGTGGATCGGGCAGATGCCTTACGGGATGTGCCGCAATGGCTCTTGCCTCTTGTGCGAGCGCACGTGCTTGCACTCCTTGCATCCACGAGGTTCAAGACCCGGAGAATTGATTTCACGAAGGCCGTCATGTCCGATCCTCACCCAGTGTGGTCGAATCTACACACCATCACGCACATGATGCTTGGCAGATTGGCTGTGATAAGGTGATGATGCCTCCGCGCGTAGAGAGAGGGGGAGAGGGAGAGAGAGGGAGGGAGTCTCATGTGCAGCCGAAGAGCGAGTAAGTCAAGCGATCCCTTCTTCTACACTCACTCGCTTACTTACACCAGTGGAATGTTTGCACTATGCGATGGGGTTTCTCCTTCCCGGGGATGCGTCCAAAGCATTTCTGATGTGATACTTGCCCAGCCTTGCCTAACTGCCCTGCTGGCGACGCTAGTGCGTAGAACCCTTCATGTCTACGATGCCCGCACGGAAGAAAAGTGGGATGGCGGTCGTGAAGCAGCAGTCTTGTGTTGCCTCTCACATGCTCAACACCGATCGCGATGTGGGCTGCTTCGGAGAACAGTCAATTCTGGAGTGTAGCATCGACACATGGATGATCATGGGTGGGAAGCAGGAATCACCTAGAGCAATAGTAGATGTGATAAAACCCTCCACACTGCCACACTGCAGTAGGTTTAGTGCATGCCACCGACTTGTGTTATACACAGCATGCCCAGCACCTGGGGCTTTGAAGAGATATCCCGCCAAGCACTGTTATCCTAGATCCGAGGTTCTCATGCATCAAGTACACAATCAGATCTCAGATGCATGTCAGCTCTTCAGCAAGGGTGGGTAGCTGGGAGCAAGCTGCACAGTCTGCTCCCAGCAATGAGAAAGGACCTGAGCCATGACACTGGCTGAGCCATGGGAGCCAATGGCTCCGTCCGACGGTCGAAAACAGCAATGAGCCACTAAGCCGCAGCGTTGGGGGTCCTGGGTCCGCACCATGTGAGGAGACATCTGCGTGTGTGTGTGTGCATGTGTTGAATTGCCATTGATGACTCCAAGCCATGGCCTCAACTGCCAGTCCAGAATGTTGCGCAGTGCCATGCAGTGTCGGGATGAGCAAAGTTAAGCAGTCCAGGCCATGTCAGGATGCGATGCCTGATGCAAGTCCAAGGTGCTTGGTGAAGTTCGCCGCAGTCATAGACACAACTCTTGATAATCACCATGTCTCGTGAGGCCAAGCCTCCAGACGTTCATGTTTAGAGTCGGATTCAGCGCGGATCGACCATTGCCTTGGCCTGCAACGATGTTGGATGGCCATGAGCAATAAATCGACAGCGGAGCATCTTTGGCTACACTGTACATCACGGATAATGGACTTTTCATAGACTGGCCTTGGTCTTTAGGCCCATTGCCAGTACATTCTCTTTTCAAAAAGCTGCATAAAGTCACACAGCCGGGGAGCCGTTGGTGGGATTTGCATAGTTTGCCTTGTGACGGCAATGCGGTTCTGCAAATTTCTCTTGGCTCGCAGCTGACGGTAGAGAAGGCCAAAGGGATTCCGGCGTTGGGGCAGCCGCCTCGGAGAACTTCCAATGACATGCCGAAGTCAAGCAGTGAGAAGGGTGCAGGAGAGCACGCGGTGTGGTGGGTGCTAGCTGCCGCGCTTGTGGCTGCTACATTGCTACATGCAAAAATCTGTTGCGGCATCAGTTCACAACACGCTGCCGTAGATTTCAGCCAAACAGAGTGACAAGGGAACCACTGTCAACTCTTGCAAAAGCTGGGATAGCTGCCTAGAGACCCGAATCTCGGCAGTCTGACTTATCCCAGCAGGCCTTCGTACTTGTGCACCTTGGCAAGATGTTAGCGGAGGCTCATCCCCTCTGTGCAAGGTCATGGCCTTCACTGCCAGACGAGTTGCTCGTTCGCTGGGAGGCCTCGGTCATCCTCGTCCAGTTGCAACTTTGCAAGTGAAATGTCTCACTGATCTCACCGGGCGCTGCTAGCTGTCCTGTCACCACCCAGCAGAAACTCAACATGATCGTGCTGAATTACTTCATCGCCTAGCGCAGGTGTCGCAGCTTTGGGCAGTGCTGCCTTCGTTGCTCGGTCTGTGCCAGCGCAGTGCACGGTGCTTGGACTGACGGAGCCTGCTGTGTCCCGTTGCAAGCAGTCTTGTTGCCCATTTTCCTCGCGAAGAGTGTGCCAGTCTTGCGGGTAATGTTGTGCCCGGCTTGAGCCAGTGGAAGATCATCCAAGCATATCCAAGCATGTGACATCCTGTTGTGATTGCTCTTGCAGGTGACGACAAGGATCCTCCGCATCCCCCGTTCTCAGCTTAGTCTTCCTGGAATGGAAATTCCCTGAGGCTATGAAGTTGCAAGTGCGGTTTCCTTTCACCAAGGCGATACCCATTCTGGATCAAATCAATATTCCATGCCCATGAGATCCCAAGCGTTCGCAGGGGCTCCCAGTGGAGCCAACTTTGCAGCACATCCGTGTGTTGGAGCAAGCGCCCAAATGCGAAGCCTGCTAATCATATATCACCTTGAATCCCAGAGCAGGTCAAGTGCTTTAAGTCGTTGGGATTGCGCAAGCCCCGCATCCTGTTGTCTTCTAATTCTAGTTCCACGACGTGGGATGAGTTGCATACTCCTGGTTCGTGATCAGGCCGCGGCTACGAGGTGTATCGACAGGTGGCCTCTGCGGGCTTGAAGCGCTTTGCAGCCAAGTCCGGATAAGAACGCTCAATCTTGAAGAGGTTTGCGCAACTTGTCACTCGATGAAGCAGCCTTCAACTTACTGACGGGAAGAATGTGACCATGCTGAGTCCATGCTGCATACCGATAACCTTGACCCAGGCTTCACTTCAGACACTTGGTGAACTTTGTTCTTCCAGAGAAGCGTATGAAGGAGCGACCGTTGGGACGTGAGCAAGCGGGAGGGGGTGCAATGTGGCGCCAAGCACTTGCACGGATCGTTAGTGCCGCCTGCCGTCCCGTTCGAGGCAACAGGCAACAGACAGTGGAACCGGAAACAATCGCACCAAAAATAGAAAACAAATCACGAGAGACCGTGCCTACATCTCTATGTGTCTTTGCCTGAAGGTGGCAGAAAAGGTGTGTAGCTGATCGCCCAAGAACGCTGCACGTTCTTCGAGCTGACGACAAAGAGTCGCGTGCCTTGTGTGCCAAATCGGCGAGGGCGGTCAGGCCGCTGCGTTCTCCCGAGAAATCCCCGACAACACCACTTCGTGCGACCATAATTGGGTGCACACAGGTGCATCGGGGGTCACTGGCAACATCCGCAAACGGCGACCAGAAGACCACTGCGCCCATCTGCGACCCAGTTGGGGTAGATGACTGCATTCTTCAAGGCGGACGTCAGTGCGGCCTGCAACACTTACTTTTTCGGTCTTGGGAATTTGCGGCTGTATGACTGCGACGGGCCACGATCAAGAACAACGCTTTGATCCTCGAACAGGTTCGAAAAGGACACATTGACATGTTGATTTATGACAACATAGCTCAGGATCCGAAGGGCTCGCGAAATGCCGCTCTCAGAGTTTCGGGGATGGTCAAGGTCGGCCGACGGCATCAGCAGAGCGATCAAGGACCTGGATGTGTGACGCTGTGGGTTGAACAGTTGTTTTGGAGGGGTCCTTCTATAACCCGGCTGCCTCAAGCTCATAGAATGCTGGTAGTAGGGGAAGGCGTGGGGGAATGGGGGCACAAAACCTTTTTTCTTCGGTCCCCTTCGGACCTATGCTCTCGTTACGCGGGAAGGTGATTCACGGATTCGCTGCGAAAATACACTTGTTTAAAAGATTTATCCGATTTCCGATACAGGGTCTAAATTGACCGGCTTGCAGATCCGGATGCGATGCTCCGCCTGCCGTCTGGCCCAGGACTGGTTAAGGCATGTTAAGACCATCATCATTCGTCAGCCTTTTGGGAAATGTTCGATTGCACGATTGCGTTTTGAGTCACCTTTGACTGTGACATATGTACATCTATATGTAAATTGATCATGTGATGCCGCATGCGTGTAATGTTGCATAACGAGTACTCAGCTCTTGTTGTTTGCGTGTGTATGTGTGTGTTTGGTGCAGCACAGCCATCGTGCACAAACTCTGAAACACAAAGTAGATTCAGGTTTGGCATCAATCGGTGGGGAAGAGAATGAATGTGCTTGTCAATCCGGGCAAGGCCTTCACGGGGGTTTGATGCAGCGATTCGACTGCTTATGGGGAGCGCCCCTCGGGACAAGAAGCACGTCATTGAATGTAGCGTGGCACTCATCCTCAGCGGGTTGCTCAACAAGCTCGTCGAAATTGCCGCCTGGCGCCGAAATGCGCCGAAGCTTGTTTGCAATCCGCACTTTGTTCCCTCCAAGGGGAGGGTCCTTGTCCACTGCTTGCTGCTGGAACAGTCCATCCGTTAAGTTTTGATCCAGTGGCGTGACCAGATAGAAGAGGGTGAGGCAACCTTTCTAGAGCCTGCCGAACAACTCGACCCTTTCAACCAAGTTTCCGTCGAGATCCAAGCAGCAGGTTGCAACACTTGGGTAGCAGGCAAATGGCAAATTGCGATGCTGCTACGCCATCCTGACGACGGGAAGCACAGTAAATGACGTGCAGATTAGTGCTTTCCCTCGCAGCAGGAGATTGCCTCCAGCTACGATGTAGTGGACGGACCAAACGACGAAGGCGGCATCGTTCATGGATCCGGAAGGCTGACAACCAAGAATTTCAGCTTTTGCTGCAAGGGGAGATGTTTACTCGGCCGGGCATCCTTGTGGATGCCTTTCCATCGCCGTATCCAAACGAGGAGGTGGGCCCCGGTGCGGTTTCGACGAAAGTGTTGCTCAGTGCAAGCTGTCAGAAGTAGGCTGCTCGCTATGCCAATGGCGGCGCGAACCCGCCTTGCCCACAGCCAAAGCTTCTGAAAGAGAAGGGCGAACAGCCGAGCCTTCGATCACAGGCCAGATCTCAGCGTTTATACCACGGCCAAACATGAAGGCGGGTGCTGCCGTGATCCGCTGCCAGATCTTGAAGCCTACCGCATCTCCCTGCCATGCAGGCTTGGATTACATTTTCGCCTTGCTTTTGGGTTACAGGGCGCTGCCCTCTGTTGCATGCCTTTTGAGACACGGATGTAGGACTGTCTATGGTTGTTCGTTTCCGACGGTTCCAGCAAGGACCCTCCTGCTGGCATCGACGTGCGCGATGGGTTGTACTACAACGTGCAGCATGTCTGAACTTTCTTCCGAATCCTGCTGACGTTGGCAATTTTCAATGCGCGTGGGCCTCCATGACCCGCTCTTCATGGAGACCAGTTGCAGTCTCGAGACGCCGGATCCAGGGCCAATCGATGTTGCTGTCTTTCACGTTGGGATCCGAGGTACTTCCCCGGAGGCCGACGGATGATTGCTCGATGGATTCAGTGTTTTCCTTTCAATTTTCTTGGGAACCCTAAGTCCTAAGCCCCAAACCCAAGCAGGTTCGAAGCGCGGTCGGTGAGTGTGTCCACGAAGCAACTCAAGAAGGGATTTCGGGCACGACAGCGTGTTCAGGATCTTTGTTGCCGAAGCACCGAGATTATTGTGCGTGTTGAATAGTTTGAGAGTGGCTTGAAGTGAACCTTGCCACGTGAGCCGGGGTCATATTCTGTGGTCGAAGCCAAGTGTGACATGGGTGTTGATAATAGCATGCCGCGAACCATGCCCGTTGCGTGCTTGCATTGACTCTTGCAGCACCGTCGCCCGACAGGCCTAATCGGAATGCCCAGCCCTCTGCACTCAGATGGCCTGGTCGATTACGAGGCGTGGCAGTCGAGCTTTAGATTCTTTCGAAGCTCAATGTGTGGAGGACGGCACCCCATGCACGAAGTCGCAGATGGCCAAGGATGTGCCGGCCCTGGTTTCGCACCACCACGTGTCCCCGAATCCCTTAACCGTGCAGGAGGGCCGGAGGGAGCACCTGACGGCATGATCTACTGATCTGAGCATTTAGGTACGCACGGAGGCATACTGCAAGCAAAGAGCAGAGGAGTGAGGGAAAGGGATGCATTGCCCCGTGCGTAGACGCAGTGTTCCTTAGAGCCTTAGGGACTGTCTTTTTCCTGGTACTGTAGTATTTCCTTTCGTGTGATGATCTTTGAGGAGAGGCTTGCTGGCCAGTTGGAGTCCGAATCGCACAAGAATTTATTTGACATGGTTGTGGGTCAAAGCAAGGGGGGAGCCTGCTTCGGAGGAGCAGTAGGCAGGGGCGGCAGAACGAGGCATCGGCTGGGGCGGTCATAGTCAGACCCAAAAGCGGCGCATAGGCTTCATGATCCTCACCACTCACGGTGGCAAGAAGGTCGAAGGCAACATCAGAAACGGCGAACGAGTGCAAGCGACCAGCACCTCTGACGATTTACCAAGTCACTTTGAGAGGCCCTGCACCTGTGCCAAAGGCGGGCCACAATGAACAGCATCATAGCCACCTGAATCGTGCAAACTCCACACCTCGCAGGTTTCATGCGGCAGCTTTGCGAAGTATCGTTGCAGCGCCAGGGCGCGCACAATGAGCTTTTTCCTCGACCATGCAAAAAGGAGCCAAGAATGAATCATGCCTCACCCAGAGCTCTGGCACCAAACATGACTTTATGGCAGAGCAGAGCTCAGGTCGTGAACTTTCTATGCTGGGCTGCAGAACCAGCACACGATGAGCGCAAGCTGATCGGTTTGAAGGCCGAAGTGGGATGTAGAGGGCCACTGCGCCGTATGAGAAGGCATGCAGGAGTCACTGGATGTTTCCACTGTGTTTTGCATGCGGGTCCATGTGGAGGCCATGTCCGCCTGCTTTGTCGGGACATTCATTGTTGGATTTTGGTACCGCAGTATGTGGATCGGGCAGATGCCTTACGGGAAGTGCCGCAACGGCTCTTGCCTCTTGTGCGAGCGCACGTGCTTGCACTCCTTGCATCCACGAGGTTCAAGACCCGGAGAATTGATTTCACGAAGGCCGTCATGTCCGATCCTCACCCAGTGTGGTCGAATCTACACACCATCACGCACATGATGCTTCGCAGATTGGCTGTGATAAGGTGATGATGCCTCCGCGCGTAGAGAGAGGGGGAGAGGGAGAGAGAGGGAGGGAGTCTCATGTGCAGCCGAAGAGCGAGTAAGTCAAGCGATCCCTTCTTCTACACTCACTCGCTTACTTACACCAGTGGAATGTTTGCACTATGCGATGGTGTTTCTCCTTCCAGGGGATGCGTCCGAAACATTTATGATGTGATACTTGCCCAGCCTTGCCTAACTGCCCTGCTGGCGACGCTAGTGCGTAGAACCCTTCGTGTCTACGATGCCCGCACGGAAGAAAAGTGGGATCGCGGTCGTGAAGCAGCAGTCTTGTGTTGCCTCTCACATGCTCAACACCGATCGCGATGTGGGCTGCTTCGGAGAACAGTCAATTCTGGAGTGTAGCATCGACACATGGATGATCATGGGTGGGAAGCAGGAATCACCTAGAGTAATAGTAGATGTGATAAAACCCTCCACACTGCCACACTGCAGTAGGTTTAGTGCATGCCACCGACTTGTGTTGTACACAGCATGCCCAGCACCTGGGGCTTTGAAGAGATAACCCGCCAAGCACTGTTATCCTAGATCCGAGGTTCTCATGCATCAAGTACACAATCAGATTTCAGATGCATGTCAGCTCTTCAGCAAGGGTGGGTAGCTGGGAGCAAGCTGCACAGTCTGCTCCCAGCAATGAGAAAGGACCTGAGCCATGACACTGGCTGAGCCATGGGAGCCAATGGCTCCGTCCGACGGTCGAAAACAGCAATGAGCCACTAAGCCGCAGCGTTGGGGGTCCTGGGTCCGCACCATGTGAGGAGACATCTGCGTGTGTCTGCATCGTCTTCTTTGGGTGCTACATGTCGAGACACCTCATGGCTGTCGCGTCGTGCCAGCTGAGGCTACTTGATGCGGCTTGGTTCTACCATTTCGGAATGCTATCCGATTGTACTTCTCGTAAATTGCGCAGCCCAGGAATGAGTTTAACCGCCTGAAATCACATGGTGTTGATGGAGAGGCAGCCTGCGCCATTACCGACTTGCAGCTTCGACAGAAGGGTAGCTAAGCTCCCATGCACTGAGAGGCAGTTTGGGGAGAGTGGTTTGCGGCTTGCGGCCCAGCGCAGGCGGCTTTAAGCGTAGCCCGAAAGATGCAAAAAAGATTCCTAGGCATCCTTGGCATCAACCAATGTCAATGGGGCCTGGGCCTGTCCGGTGCGTCCTTCACACAGCCCCCTAGCAAGCTGGCCATGCTCAGGCCTCCTTGCCCCAGGCGCAGACCCACGTCGAGGCCTGGGTGCTCCAGAAGAAAGTGACGGCATTTGTATGTGCAACGCTACGGTTGTCAAAGGTGGCTCTAACTTTGTCAATTTGTGGTCGGGAACCAGATAGGGTACAGCTTAAGACGAGATCAAACATACTGGCATTTACGACCTGATGTAGTTCTGTCTGAACTCGAGCGAGAGCACTAAACATGAGCACCGCTCAGAAATCGGGCCTTCAGCCGACGAAACGAACACGACACGACTCATACACAGGTTATAGAATATATGTATATATATATATACATATGACATTATACAGATATTATACATATAGCATATAGCATACATATATAAGGAGCAATCACGACGCATCCACAGATCGCAATCTCCCTCGCTAACCTACAATCGTTTCAGACACAATGGTAGCACACGTCGACCCCATGTTAGGTTATTGCAATGCGCCTGCACCTCTTCGGGAAAGCTGTTGGCATTCGATCATCACCTGCTGAGTTTCTGGGGTATTGCAGGAGCCCGTGCTGACATTGGCGACGCTGCAGCGGCTTGCCACTCCAGAGGTGGCTGTTGCCTGTAGCATTCTCTCGTGCAGAAGCTGTGCCCGTGCACTGACCAGGAATTGTCTCTGGACTTTCGGCACATTGCCACGCTCTGGAAATTAGATTCCAATCGGGATGGTGTGGTCACGTTCGAGGTGCGACGAGAAAGATTGACGAAAAAGATTGGCAAAACTACTAGACTCTCGTTTTTGCAGGAGCTTGTGACTTTTGCAGAATTCTGCAATGATCAGCGGATGATGCTTGGAGACCTGGAGCTCTCTCAAAAGCTGAAGGCAGAACCCGCCATCCAGCGCAGGGTCGTGCAATGTGCTCTCGCGGAAGGCTCTTTGCGTTATGGAGATGATTGCAGATGTGTGCGATGAGCATCATCCTTAGTTACCATGATGTGGCTGCGCGATTCCAATCCAGGACTTGTTTCACATTGCAGAATATTGCATAGCAGCTTGGAGTTAAGGGACGGTCAAGACGTCTTCGTGGACTGGATGCTCAAGATTCTTAGCTCATGAGGTGTCGTTCCCACAAAGACGTTTTGCGGAACTTGCATGGAACTCAGGCTTGTGGCCCAGGCCGGGGCATGTTTGTGTTCAATGTTCTACACTGTGTGGGCGTGCGGGCTTGAAGGCTTTAGAACCAGGTAGAAATATCAGGTGGGAACACCCAAATTTAGAACATTTATGGGGTCCACTGACGAGCAAAGATCTCCCCTGCATTGTCGCCAGGATAACGTATACCTAACTGGAATGACTCCGTGATGCTTCTTGCGGAACCATGAGCTCGCAAATACAAGCACAACCAAAGCGAGCCAGAATCACGAACATAGAAAGGATAGCAGTGGCAACAAGCAGCATGAATGAGCTGGTGGTCCTTCCGCAAATAATCTCGACCAGTCTCGCTAGGAAGTGCCCCCATTAGCATCATGCAGCTGCATGATTGCACGATGTAGCAGCTAGCATCGAAAGCCTCTCCGTGCAAAATGCTGCCCGATCTCTGGCGTACTAAAGCAACCGTACCTAGCCGTGGGCTTGGAGGGCTGCTGCAACTACTGCTATCATCACGGCCACGATCACAACTACCACCATTTGCTACTTACTTCTGCTGCGACTGCTACTACTGCTGCGACGACGACTACAACCACGACTGCGACTGCTGCAGCTGCTGCTGTGACGACGACGAGTACGACGACTGCTACTGGACTACTACTCTTCTAATCTCAACAACAACTACAACTACGACGACAACTACAATTACCTCTACCGCTACGGCTACCGCGACGACTGCTACTGCTACTGCTACTGCTACTGCCACTGCCACTGCCACTGCTACTACTACTACTACCACCACTACTACTACTACTACTACTACTACTACTACTACTACTGCTGCTACTACTGCTGCTACTGCTATTCTGCTGCTGCTGCTACCACTGCCACCACCACGACTTCCACTAGTTTTGCTTCTGCTTCTACCTCTCCTTCGACTTCTACTACTACTACTACTACTACTACTACGACGACGACGACTACTACTACTACTACTACTACTACTACTACTACTACTACTACTACCATTATTGCTCCTGCTGTGACGACTACTGTATCTACTACTTTTGCACGACAAGCAACTATTGCAGAGAGCGGTTAGCCAAGTCCAGCGTCGGAAGCTGATGAATGCCGCTCTTGCACAGGGAGAGTCATGGTGCAGGCAGGCCTCTGGCTGTGAATACACTCTTCGACTGACGCTCATGATGCGTTGCCGCGGTGGTGCGCTGTGGTTGACTACGCTTATACGATCTTATACGCCTTTGGCTACTCATCTTTCTCTGCGAACGTGGTCTCACCCGTTCTCTTCCGTGTGCGCTGGCATGCATTGGGGGCGGCATTTCGATTTCTTGACGACCTCAAAGCGGCGTCTAGGTTTTGACGGCGGTATGCCCGGCCACGCGCACATGGGCACAATGGTTCGCCACACGCAAGAATCCATCCTCTCTGCAATCGTATCGAGATGTTCCGAGCCCCAGCTTTGAATTCCGAGGCTAGCCCCGAACCAGGAAAGACGTAGCATGGCCGATCCAGTGTCGGGCCCAACAACTGCTGTGAAGTTTACGTGCGCTTTGGAACCCCAACTGGTGCTTGCAACGGCAAGCCCCTAACATCAAAATATCAAAACCGAAGGGGATGTTCCGGCAGGATTCTGCGTGACAAAAGTGATCTACGCAGCAGCCAAGAAGAATAAGCCTTTCCAATCATCGTAGACACGTTGATGGTCAATCATCGTAGACACGATTCTGGTATATTTTGGTCGAGGCGGAAAGATGATGTCTGCAAAAGAAGGGATGCAAGTTGCCATTGCCGTTGCAGGACATGTCCCCTCGGCCATTTCGCATGATGCGAATACCAGTGCCAGACCCATGACAGTTTTCCACGCAACCACCTCTGAAGCAGGCGCCACGAAGCAGTCGACACTAAGGTTGATGCCCAAGACGCTGGTAGGCCAACCTTCTACGTCCACATGGATGTGGCGCCTGTCTCAGGACGTTCCTGAAAATGAAGCACAGTTTGCGCAAGTTTTTTTGAGACAGTTGCCTTCCAGGTCATGAACCTGTACAATCTGCTGAAGCCCTGCCAAATATCAAGCCACACAAACATGTGCCCGAGCTCAGCAGTTAGATGTCTGCATGCCCAACCATTCGACTGGACAGAGAGAGCTTGCAAGATAGCGCAAGCCAGCGTCTTCTGCAGTACTCGTATCTGCAGCTTGCCAAACATACCATCTAGACTGCTCGTCACTGCTAGCCTCCCGATCTGAGGCAAGACTTTGTTGACTTGCTCCATCAGATTGGGGAGAGCATGAACCTTCAGCCGCTCATGATCAAGGACATCAGTCATTTTCAGGTTTCATGCCGCGTCAACTTCATGCAAAAGTTTGAATTTTACCCTGCAGTCCTTCTCAAGGATCTTGATGAATGGGCCACGAACCCAGATCGTGAAGTGTTTGATCCAATGAACCACCGCGAATTAGAAGTGTTGGCCAACACTGGAATGTCCAGTTCCCTGAAGTATGTGTTGACACTAGGTGCCTCTTGAAGTCGTGTATCACTGGTTGAAGCGCTTTGTCGCAGTCTGCGTCTCAGCGCTATCTTGTACCGCGCCGTCTCTTTGGGATATGGCATCAGCTGGAGGCTTTCACGGACCTCTACAAAGAGCTGGGTCTGTTCATCGATACATAATGCGGAGCGGCGCCAGTCAAACAGCTAGTGGACAGCATTGCAGGAGGGCTCCGACACGCACGCTGCCCACATCTGCCCACACAGATGAGCACGCACACACACTCGCTAGCACTAGCACTGCCAAGGGGAGAACGGTGTCTTTTTTCTGATACGTTGCACTTTCTTCTGGTTTTCAATATCTTTTGTCCGTTGTTGTGCTCGCAGGTCGCAGTTGAATTGCCACATCTGGAGGTTGCTCCGCTTGGGGGTGTAATGCCGGTGGGTTCCCCAAGTTTGACCACATAATCGATCGGTAGACCAAGTACGATCAACGAATTCTGATGAGTCGTGCCAAAGAAGGTCATTAGCTTAGCTTCTTGGTCCCATCGGTCTCGTGTTTTTCCTAATGTTCGTTTCAGCCTCGTGCCCTGAGAGATTTGCACAGAGAGAGACTTTCGCGCGCAGTCCGTGTCCCTGAATTTGAAGTGCTCGAAACCTAGTGACAGTGATGTAGTACTGTAGGCAATTTGGATCCACCCGAAGTTTCACCAGCTAATTAAACCCATCTCCATTTCTAAAGGAAATGGACTTGGAGGATGAGCTTGAGCTCTCCCCCAGGTTTGTGTCAGCGCTCTTGCGCGGCGGCACAGGAGTTGGAGTGCTGCAGCGCGCCCACGATGAACTGACGCGCCGTGCTCACAACATGTGGTTGGAAACAGGTCGTAGCGACGACAAGGCAAACTGGGAGGACGCGGAGCGTACCTTGGTGCGTTGGCGGAGACAGCCTGAAACAGGAAGCGAGGGAACCCCGGGACTCGATACTTTGATGTGTGACTCGCCAATGGATGCCATAGAAGGAGGCTTTGCAATGGACTTTGCAGCTAACCGCGAAGAGCTTGCAGAATTATGCATTACTTTGCAGGCTAACCTGCATGCCGCCAAAGCTGCACTTCAGCAGGAGAAGTGCGCAGTGAGAGCCTTGCGCAAGGATCTTCAAGCCGAGCGTGCTCGAAGCAAGCGCTTCTCATTCAAGTTGATGGCTGCTGAGGCTCAGTTGTACAAAGAGACCGCTGCCCCATGCATGCAAGGCCAGCAAGGCCATGCCGGGACTACCACCCGAGGTATTCCGGTCCTCAAGGCTCTTGACGGATTGAAAGATGCGTGGCAAGAAGCTGAGCACTATTCCCTAACACCCAGAGCTCGTATTCGCAGACGCTTGTACTCCAGCCCCACGCAGAGCTCTTGCAGCGACTGTGAAGCCTGCGAGATCAGTTCCCCAGCAAGTGGGTGCCACACACCATCAGCATCTTGGTGGTATGCTGATGGCAAAGACTCAGAAGTTGGCGACCAGTTCGATGCTTATGCAGATGCGAGCCTTCATCCCGAATGCTCAGACTCCTGGTGGTTCTCTGAAGACAGCACGCAAGGTAGTGCAAGTGAAGAAAGCTCTTCGGCTGCAGAGGGAACATGCAAAGCTATGCTGGTTGCTGAAGTGTAGTCTCGCCTCACCCCATCCTTCGTCTGTCCATCTACTCAGTTTATGTTGACCCTTCCTGTTTCTGCCCCACAGAAAAGCTATATAACATGAACGGAATGTGCTGCAAATAAGTTTAAGAACTATAGCGTGGTTTTGTTTGTTTGTTTGTTTTTTTCGCAGTTGTGCATGTGGTCGTTGCGAACGTTACGAAGGGTTCCGACATGCATTCTGTGAACATGAGCTTATGCTTAGGTATGCTTAGGCCTGGCCATGCGCCAAGAAACAGGGTCTTCAAGAAGGCACTTCGTTCAAGTGAACAAACGGTGGCCAACCCCCCAATATCTATGTGCCGGACGTTGTTTGAGTTTGTGAGTTATGTGTGCGTGTGTGTGTGTGTGCGCGTCACAGCATAGAAACGGTGCTGCCAGTTTGCCTCCGTGGGGCATGAAGCTCGTTTTGAGCCTCCACTCCAACTGAACTTCTCCCCTTCTTACCGGGGTTGAATTTCTCACAAACCTCCGAGCCTTTTACATGGTCCAGCCGCGCCCATGAGCGTCGAAATGACGACCCCACCTGCCCAAGAAGTGACTTTATGTGCCTCGCGGCCTATTCCGAACCCCCGCTTTATTCAGCTGGCATGCCAGATGATATGAAAAAACAGCTCCACACGATCCACAGCGGTTGGCCGGTAAATTCTGAATGGCCAATGAGAAAGAATTTCTTGTCATGCCCGAACAGATCATCAGCATCGTGTTGCTCGGCCAGAATCGTGTACATGACCTTGCAACGGTTGAAGTTTGGAAAGCTGCGAACACGCTCAACTTCATGTTGAGAGACCCGCCCTGCAGAAGGTCTGGGTCTGTCGGTAGTTTCGGATGTATGCAGCCTTCAGCATTTTTGGGAGTTTGTCGGGGTTCTGTTGTTGGCTGCTCAGTTGAAAAGATTGACGATGCCTGGTAGACGGCTGATGCTCCGCGGGTCTGCGGAGCCCGTGCAATCTTAACGAAGACTTCACACTGTGGTGAGTTTTCCCGCTGAGCAAACGGAAAGAAGGCCATCTCACCGGTCATTGCGCTTCAAAGTGAATTGCGCAACTTTCCGACCCGTTCATTCCCCCTTCAGCTCAGCACTGTTCGTGAGCCGGACTATACAGTAGTGCCTCGACCGAGCATTCTACCAGTAGCGCCCCATCGGCACTTTTTAATTAGAGAACACCGTGGCTCAAATAGGAGGCTACACTTGCCAGATGCCGGACTACAAGGCTTCCCCTCTCGTTCTTCAGTCTTGAGTATGTGGGTGCGCCACTTGGGAAAGCATAACCGAAAGCCTTGCAAGATCTTTTGTTGAGAGACTTGCCTTGCTCCCTGTCACCGGCAGCCCAAGAACGTCGGACAGCATCATTGGCCTCGGGCCTACCAGGGCCTACCACATCTGACACAGTCGTCCTCTTCGCAGCTTGATGCACGCACACGTCGTGTCAATCGATGATGGGCTCCCGAGAAGGACGGACTGCCCCACTTGGGCACTCTTGTCGTTCACGGCGAGCAGCGCATCAAGTACCGTTCATTGCCTTCCCAGAGCAAGATTTCAAGCCATGGGCGCTGGCTACACAGAACACGCTGCTTCCGCCCTTCCACCCTCACACCTGCTCACGGCGATGAAGGCGAGTCCTTGCTTTCCCTTTTTTTGGGCGCCCAAGCCGTGTTGCAACATTCAGCAATCCATCCAGCCTTTGCTCCGAGCATGTGGAGTGTGGCAAAGATAAAGGTGTTAAAGCCCCATGCAGGCCCCAGCTGCAGCAAAGGTGCTGTGGCACCTGTGCCAGCTCATGTCTTCCATATGACCATCCTCAATGCTTTGGTCTGGATTGGTGCATGGACCTGCCCAAGCCTGTGTGATTTGGTTCTAGTCTCTCTAACCTCTGCCCTTTCTACCAGCTGCTGTCGTGAGGGCAAGGCTTGTGATGAAGCCCGTATTCATCTTCCTTGTTCCACATTTGTTCAACTTCGTTGGAAGTCTCCGTATTCAATGCTGCTTAGTTCAGTACGCGACGTTTGATTTCTGCAGGCGATGCAGAAGGCGAAGACGGTGCCAAGGGCCCAGGCTTTGCCAAGGGCGCTGGTGGCGCTAATGGTGCTGGCTGTGAGTACAGAATCGCTTTCAGCCCAAGCCCTGTGACAGACAACCAGGGCACTCAGCATCTTCGATTTGAGCCACCGAAGCCATATTCTTTTCGGAGAAGTCGGGCCTGATGGCCTGGATTAGCTTGGATGCTTCTGGATCCGCTGCAGTTAGGCTTTCGATGGCTTTTGAAGCATGCAATCCAGCGGCAATCCAGCCCTGGATCGGCTCACACCGAATGCGTTGAGAAATCTCGAAACAGTCCAGCCTCTCTGATCCAGGTATGACATTCTCTATCACCTCTACAACTCCTTGTGATCCAGTTTGCATTCAATCATGGCTCCGTGATTTTACAAAGCAGTGTGCAGGATGTCCGGCATCGAATGAACCAGTTCCCGTCAGCAAGCATCAGTGTTAGAATGAGCTATGCGGGCTGTAGTGGTCCCTCAACGTAGCATCCAGGAAATAGACGTCATTGTGCACTCCGGGGTTCGACAGTAAGTCAGTGATTCTTCCAGCATGTGAGCCTCTGTGTGAAGAGAGCCATGACTGCGATGGCTGGTGTGCAGCAGCTCGGCAGGCGACTCTGCAATAAGGGGCAACCGACTGTACCGATAGTAGAGCAGAAGGAGTGAAGGCCTTGGCCGGGGAGTACTCAAAGGGAGCAAAGATGAAGGGTGACATGGGTATGATTTCAGCGGTGAACAACACATTATGCAAGAATGCGCGCGACGCCGGGATGGCATACAAAGTGAAATGAAATGCCTGGCAGTGCAGAGGCTTTCAAGTCCATGTTCGGTCTCAGAAAAGCGAACCTTGAAAGAAGATGTTTAGGCCTTCGGAGTTTTGCTCTACAAGACATAGTGCAAGCTTTCTGGGGAGTCTTGATAATGTGTCCCTCACTGTAGTAGGATGCAGTTTTCAACATTTTCAACACAAGGCCCCTCTTGAGAGCTTCAGGCCTCAGAAGGAAAAAGAGCCAGTGGTTTCCGCAGGAGACTGGCTTTAGCCTCTTCGCCTTCCTTGTGCAGGCAGTCGGGTTCTGCTCGATTGCAGCCCCTAAGCATAGGCGGAAGCCAGGCGGAATGCGATGCTGCGATCTAAAGCGGATGTCTTTTTGCGAGACGAGGCCGAGGAGTCGACAATGCAGAGGAGACACCGTGGATCACTGCGCGTTTGCGCAAGTGCACAAGAGTTTACTTAGAGTTTGCCCAGTTGATGATCTTGGAGTTTGTGCGGCTGGTTGTCGTTGAAAGCACACAGCTCCATGAGAGTTGGTGGTTTCCAGGGCTTTCTCAGCAAGACAAGTCCTCCGAGGCAGCGCAGGTAGTCCGTGAGCCGCAGGGGCCAGGGGTGCTGTTTGTAGCTGACTAAGGCACGTAGGCATACGCAGGCCACCTTAAATCCAAATGCGAAGCAGGGGCGATCGCATGCTCGCATTATCTTGTGCAAGTGTCGTGGCTCGTGCAGCTTCGTCGTCCGAGTTTTCCTTGGGGCCCTAGGCCGTAAACAAACGGTGATCGGATCTCTTGCTATGGGGCATATGGGGCCTAGGGTGTTTCTCGAAGGCGGTGCCCTTGCGAGCTGGAGCAGGGATGTCCTCAACACTCTACCGGGAACAGGGGTCCTTCTAGTCGCTCGTGCGACATCAGTCGAATTCATCGTTTCATCCCTGTATAGAGGGAATTTTCCCGGGCATCGTGAAGTTTGTGCCAAAAGCACATGCCCATAATTTTAACGCTACGCCGCCCGCCTCGGCTGTGTAGCGGCAGGGCGAGGGGGCAGTCGATGTTTTTTAATGCTAGGGCGGCCTGTCAAACCCCAACCTTTACACGGTTGTTGATACGAGGAGAACGGGTACGAGCGGGTGGGGTGAGGGGGGGGGGGAGGGGGGGGGGGGGGGAGGGGGGGGGGGGGGGGGGAGGGGGGGGGGGAGGGCGGAGGGGGGGGGAACCGACAAATCAGGTAAAATGAGGCGGGGGAGGGGTGGGAGGGGGGGGGGAGGCCGACAAATCAGGTAAAATGAAGGGAAGCCGGGCAAGGGGGTGGCAAACGAACGCAAAAAACGGGTGTCCCCAAACATTTGGACCGCAGGGAGGAGGTTTAGGTGGAGGGTACCTGAGCTAACCCCCAAGACGCCTGGGCCTGTGGCCTCGGCGGATTTTGCAAAGTGGTTTTGGCATGCGCGGGGTCTGCAATCTGCATGCGTTCGGGATGCTGGACCCATGCAATCGCTTCGGGGGGCGGCGATGACAGAAGGTGTCCACCTCGCTTGAAACCCGGCTTGCACTCGCAGCACTTGCTGTTTCCGAGATTCACTGTCGTACAGATCATGGGCCTTGTTGCTGGAAGGCTAGCAGGTTAGCAGGTTGGCAGTGCCAGCCAGCGTGGACTTGTACCACTGCATTGAAGACTGTATGTTTTGAAGCTTGATCTCAAAGGTGACACGCACCGCAACAAGCGCACAATCTGTCTGCCTGCAGGACTTTCCGATCTTCGGGAGGACGGCAAAGTCACCGGACCCCGGCATGCTCCCCAGAGGGTGTGACAGCAAGTTCCAACATAAAGCAGCCGATCGGTCGCAGGTACTACCCCTCGCTTTCCCAGACCCTTCGGAACACCCGTGGACGAGAACTGCTGCGTATTGTTGACACAGCAGTGCCAAATCTGCAGACGCCCAGCTGCCGTCAGCCACGAGACAAGCGCGCCAACTGTGACCCAGAAGTCGCAGAGTATCCAGATCCGAGGAGCGAGCAGGAGTTCTTAGTCATTCTGAAGGCCTTTTGCTTTTTGAGTTGCCTTTGGACAACACTCTACCTGACGACGACTTGTTTTGCATGCCGACAGTCGACATTGACGGCATCTTGTCCTTGCAGCTACGGTCAGACAGGCGCTGGCGCTGGATGGCCAGTTCCGAAGAGCCCTTCGCCTGATGAGGCCAGATGTATGCACTTGGTCAGACTTGCGTGAAGACTGAGTCGGTAGGGAGATGAAAGATTTGGGCCTCGAGTCTTGCACTCAGGGCAGTGTCACAACGCAGTGCAGGCGACATGTCTGACCGTTTGCTGGGCAAGGTTAGACATTGTCAAGTATAACTGGGTCCTCAGCGCCATGGCCAAAGACAAACAGGCCAGGCATGGCCAGGCATGGCCAGGCGGCAGGCCTGTTCGACTCAGACTTCGCGACTCGAGGTGGAGCGGGCCCTGGCGATGTTGGAGGAGATGAGAGGGGTGACGGTCAGCCCAGATCTTCAAAGCATCCTGGATGCAAGATTTAGCGCAGCAGTAGTGTTGCAGCGGCTCTTCGCCTTACTTTCGCGCTTGAGGGTGTTGGGGGTGGTCGTGGTCGCAGCCGCGGAAATGCGTCGTTGCGATGGCATCTGAATCTTAGGGAGTGCCAGTGTTGCTGTTGTTACAGCTCCTGTTGCAGGTATACTAATCGTAGTAGTCGTCGTCGTAGTCGTAGTCATCGTCGCAGTCTTAGTCGTCATCGTACTCGTGGTCGCAGTGGTAGTGGTCGCGGTGGTGGTGGTAGTGGTAGCAGCAGCAGTAGCAGTAGCAGTAGCCGTAGTAGCAGGAGTTGTAGTAGCAGTAGTAGCGTGAGTGGTAGTGGCAGTGCTAGTGGTCGTCGGAGGAGTGGTTGTGGTAGGTAGTCGCAAGAGAGTAGCAGTAGTAGTAGTAGTAGTAGTAGCAGTGATAGACGTAGTAGTAGTAGTAGTAGTAGTAGTAGTAGTAGTAGTAGTAGTAGTAGTAGTAGCAGGAGTAGCAGGAGTATGTAGTAGTAGTAGTAGTAGTAGTAGTAGTAGTAGTAGTAGTAGTAGTAGTAGTAGTAGTTGTAGTTGTAGTTGTAGTTGTAGTTGTAGTAGTAGTAATAGTAGTAGAAGTAGTAGAAGTAGTGGCAGTAGTAGTAGTAGTAGCAGCAGCAGCAGTGATAGAAGTAGTGGTAGTAGTAGTAGTAGTAGTAGTAGTAGTAGTAGTAGTAGTAGTAGTAGTAGTAGTAGTGGTAGTGGTAGTGGTAGTGGTAGTGGTAGTGGTAGTAGTAGTAGTAGTAGTAGCAGGAGTAGTAGCAGGAGTAGTAGCAGGAGTAGTAGTAGTAGTAGTAGTAGTAGTCGTAGTCGTAGTAGTCGTAGTACTCGTAGTAGTCGTAGTAATCGTAGTAGGTTGTAGATTCTGTCGTTGTTACTGTTAGAGTTTGTGCAGTTGTTGAAGCTGTTGTAGTTGCTGCATTGGTCGTCGTCGTCTAGTCGTAGTCGTAGTAGTAGTTGTTGTTGTTGTAGTTGTTGGTGGTGGTGTTGTTGTGGTGGTTGTTGTTGGTGGTGGTGCTGGGGCGGGCGCGCGCGTTGGCGGTGTTTGTTGTTGTTGCGCTGCTGCTGCTGCTGCTGCTGCTGTAGCTGTTGCTGTTGATTTTGTTGTTGTTGTTGCCGTCGTTGTTGTTGTTGTTGTGGTTGTTGTTGTTGTTGTGGTGGTGGTTGTTGTTGTTATCGTTGTTGTTGTCGTTGCTGCTGTTGTTGGTAGTGGTTTGTGGTGCATTGTGCTTGGTGCTTTGTGCATTGTTGTGTGCATTGTTTTTGGTTTGTTTATGTTTGTTGTTGTTGTGCTGGTACACGTCTGCTTCTACTGGGCTGGAGATGACAGCAAGAGCGACTGTCTTGGTGGTTGCATATGCGCAAGCCACTGTCGAAAGCCGTTAGCTACATGTCGTCCTCACGCTGCGGAGCTGGAGTTGTTGCCCCAGACAGGCTACAATCATTGTGCAGGCCTGACAGTGGGAAGTTGGGAGGGGCGTGCAAGTGCCGAATGTTTCTGCCTTGCTGATCAGGCGCATGCAAACCGAAGGAATGGCAGGAGTCGCTCCACATCCTGCGGACTCTCATGCCAGCTGCTGGCGTTGAAGCTGATGCTCAAAGTTTTGAGCACGTGGCAGCTGCATGTGAAGAAGCCCACGAGTGGCAGAGATCTCTGTCCCTCTTCATGGAGATCGGTGAGCAGGGGCTTTTTGCCAGCTCTGTTGGCCACAACTATGCTTTGTCAGCATGCCGCCAGGGCAAACAGTGGAAGCATGGGCTTGAGATTATGGACATGATGAAACAGAGGAGCTTCGAGCCGGACTTCCGCCTGAAGATGGATTTGGAGGCGCAGTCACGTGGATTGGAGCGAGCTCCACCTCCGGAGCCAAGCAGCCGATCCATGCCCTCTCCTGACAATGTCTGGCAGCGGAAGCAGCAATTGCGAGAGCTGCGGGAGCAGGACAAGCGTCGGCAGGAGGAGCGGCGTCTCGAAGAGGAGCGGCAGAAGCGACTGCGCGATGCACATTCGACACCTGCAGAGGCGTCGAAACCAGAGAACACTGAGGAGAGCCCGAAGATCCAGGAGCGAAAGCCTGAGCCGGAGCCGGCTCCGGTTGCAAATGTTGAAAGTCCCAAGGCCAAGGCCTCCAAAGCAACTGAGCGGCCCCAGACGGGAACCGGAGCCGGTGGAGCGACTGGAGAGGCAGAGGCCCAGGCCCAATCTCGCAAGGTCGAGGCCGAAGTTTCTCGAGAAGAGAGGCGTCCGAAGGAGCGTGACCGGCGGGAGAGCCCGACCCCGCGCAGGGATCCTAAAAGGCCGAAGCTACGGTCTCCTGGCTCCTACGTCCTCCCCGTTTTTGCGCAGCACGATCGGTCAAACCATGCCGAGAGGCAAGCGCTAATCAAAGTCATTGCCCGAGTGCAAGAGGCATCTGGTGCAAAAACTGATGCCGAATTTGAGGCGGAGTGTGCAGAAGTCACCGGCACTGTCCGATTGTATGCATCACACACACCTTGCATCTCCTGCATGGCATGCTTCTGCCAATTCCAGCGCTTGTTTCCCAAAGTCAAGCTGTGTGTCGACTTTGATGACTGGCGGGACACCCGCCGCATGGTTGAGATGGCTCGCAGAGAGGAGGAGCACAAGAAGCGTGGCTCTACCCCTCCAGATTACGATTGTGCTGGCTTGTCTGACATGTCGGACGAAGAAGAACCAGATTGTTTGGAGACAGTGCCGCAAGCCGGCTCGGTAGCTTCAGCAGCTCCGTAAGGGTGGCCCACCGTGTGCGGTGACTCAACAGGCGTCCTTACGCTCCGGCCAGGTTCCAACAAAGAACCCAGTTCTCACTTAGAGATACTGCAAAGCGAGGTGCAAGCTGCTGTGAGCGCTCTGCTTGGCGTTCAATTGTCTGCTTAAAGCCGGCCTCGCCGTCGCAACACATGTGGCTCGCTGTAAAACTGGATGCTACAGTAGTCGTATTTCAGAAGAAGGCAGAGACTAAATGCATCACGGCTGCGACATGTCGGCAAGTGGTCAGCTTGCTGGAAAATGCACAGTCAAGACATGTAAAGGCTGGATAGCAACTCCACGCTACGAGATGTGCCTTGCTCTGCCTGCAGAAGGCTACAACCCACTTCGAAAGGCCAAGAACACAAACGATGATAGCCTAGGGCCGACTGCAGTGAGACTGCAGTATGTTCGCCTCCAGCGGCCTGGCCCATCGGCATGCGATCTCTTTGCCTGGAGTTGATGCCTCATAAAGACATGACAGCCGCTGCACTGAGGGACTTGGAGATGGGACGCCATGTCCGCTTAGCAGGAGCGCATACCTTCGCTTCAACAGGGGCGGAAGTTGCTGTTTTTCGTGTCTGTTCCGTGTGGCGCTGCGTGGGTGTGTGTGTGTGTGTGTGCGTGTCACACCTGGTTACCACAGTTTCCAATTAGTAAGCAGGGTGCCTCGACATGTCAATGTGCAGTGGTCACCAGCCCAACGAAGCAAGTCATTGCGGTGAAGGACGCTTCCCTTTGTGTTTGTGTGTGAAACCCAAACTACAAGGTCCACGGCTCGTATTACGCCGCGTACTAAACAGCTTCGCTGTCTTGGTCGGGATGATTCTTATGCTGTTTTTGTGTGGTTTTTGCAGAGGATCGGCTCACCGACGAAATTAATCGCGTTTTTGCCCTCAGCTACATGGGGGAACGGTGTTTTGTAGGGGTTTTCACGAAGCGAAGTATGATTCTCGGGCTATCCAGAACTACTTTGAAAACGAAGGAATGCACTGGGTTTTTACAAGACAAACAAGGCACGCCTGAGTTTGTTTTCTCCGAGAATGTCTTCCAGCGCTTCGAGGAATTCCTGGGGCGTGCGCGGTTCAGTTGTGTTTCATAGCAGGATTCAGAGCACTGTCTCCATCCACTTTGTGCTTTGCAGACAGTGTGAGTTTAAAGACGTCTTTAAGTGTCAAGCACCTGCTTGAACGTCAAGGACATGACTCGCGGAGATGCCGGGAGCGGTGCATCTGCTGGCGCCGTCCATGCCACACCGCCGGCGTGGAAATCAGAAAATATACAAATCATCACAACCTCAGCTGCAGAGTGGCCGACAAAGGACCGGCCTGGCTGCTCGTGGCAGCAGGTATAACGGCAAGTCGAGCATGAACATGGCGACTCGGCTGCTGCACTTGTTGAGTGTTGTCTTACGGTTTCGTTGCTGTCTGGCGGAATGAGCTTACGTGCTGCAGCTGGACATTTCGAAGCACCCGAGCCAGAAGGCTGCATGCCGCGCACCGGACATCGGAAAAGAACGGGGATTCGGGTCCTAGGTGATGTGCGAAGTGAACGAAACTGTCCCCCACCCCCCCAGCCCCCCCCATCCCGCCCCAAAGCGCAGTCCGAAAACACCACGGCGTAATACACACCGGGGGCCAATTACGACGGGATGCAACGGGAGTAGGCTGAAGTAAGAGTTGATTAATTACGATGAGATTGAATGGGAGCAAGGGGCTGCAAGCCTACGGTCTGAGCTGCGGCCAACGAAGGCCCCCCCCTAGGTGAAAACGCATCCACTGAGTTCTCAATGCTGTTGATGGTGCTTCAAGAGCAGCCTGACCGGTGATCCTGGTGTTGTCCCGTAGTAAACTACCAGCATGGAAATCCAGCCTATTGCAGACCTTCCTTAAACATCCTTAAACGGTCTTTTTGAGTTTCAGATTTGGCGTTAAGTTGAGATCACTCACTGAGCGACCTCCGGGGAAGCCCGGTTTCGAGACGTGTGTGTGTGTGTGTGTGTATGCGTGTGCTCACGTGTGCGTGTCTGCTGTGTGCGCGTGCGTGTGTCTGGTTGTTCATTAGGAGCTCTGTGTCTGGTTGGGTGGGCTTCTGGCCTTGGAGATTTCGGGACCCGACGGCCGGCTGAGCTGGAGGACGGTGGTCTGTCCTGCTGTCCTATCCTTGTCGTCTCGTGACCGCTAGGACGTTTTCCGAAATGCTGCATCGCCACTGGTTGGAGACTGGCTGCTGCGCCCCAAGTTTGGCAACGCTTGTTGTATTGCTCGAGTTCGCAAGATTGATATGAGAATATCAAGCAAGGTATCTTCGCCAGCAGCAGCAGCAGCAGCAGCAGTAGCACTAGTGGCAGCAGTAGCAGTAGTAGCAGCACAAGCCGGTGTAGCAGCAAAGGCAGAAGTAGTAGCAGCAGCAGCAGCAGTAGCAGTAGTAGCAGTGATAGCCGTGGTAGCCGTCGTCGTAGCAGTAGAGTCAAAGGCAGTGGTCCTGGTAGTGTTAGTGATGCCACCGGATCCACCGGCAGATATCAGTAAGTAGTAGGTAGGCTTAGCCGCGTCGATCTGAGTGGTACACTCAGCAAATGGTTCGCAGTTCGCAGGCAAGCGCGGCAAGCGCCCAAGAAACCGAGGACTAATGACAACGAACGTGTGAGCTACTCCATGGCATGCGTGACTCGGTTTCAAGCACATGTTTTATGCAACAAGCCTCTGGAAACAGGCATTGTTCCCGGCCGAACACGGGTTGGTCTTTGTCATGCGCACGATTGCTCTGCCTGAAGAAGCTGCTGCAAAACGAGACCGAGAGACATCTTCGGATTTCGTGTCAATCGAGGTCTTCGGGCTCATTTGCGATGCTGGCAGATCAACAACTTCCGTGCTTGTACTCCCAGCTGTGCTTGTTAGTAGTTAGCATTTGCTGCCTGGGGTTAAGACCGCAAGCCAGGAAAGTTCTCGTTGTGCTGGATTGGGATCGGGCCCTATGATCTGCGATCCGATTTGGCTTCGTGCGGTGCTATCGCAAAGCTGCCCGGTGTCCAGGTTGCCCAAAAGCTGCATGAGTCCTTCTCGCACACAAGAGAAAATTTCAATCTGTGGAAGGCCGGCTCAAGCCAGACATAGGTTTCCCAGTTCCTATAGCCTATAAATGAACCTGTTGCAGGACATCCTCGTAGCCAAAGGATTCCAAGGCGGGGCTTCCGGTCGGTGGATTCGACAAGGGTCTCCGGCACGACCACGATAGCAATCTCACGTTGGCAGGTCAGACGTCGCACGAGTGGTTCAGGTCCTCTAATTACTACAGCCTCCTGCATCCCATCATGGACATGAGCAGGACATTGTTCGAGAGCGTTGGCCGGAAATGCAGAATGAGTGTCTATTGATGACACGAAAACCTGCAGGATTTGCACGCACTTCATGGAGTTTATTCACGCCATTGTCATGGTTCATGGCGAAAGGCTTCCCGATCGTCTTTGTGGCGTTGGGCATGAATTGACGCAGTCTCCAGATTTGTGGTTGACCTGTTGCGTTCTCGTACCTTAACTGCAGGCAAGAGCTCCGAGACAATAGCGATGCATGCGGGATGTTTGGAGTATATATCTCCCCAGTGACTCTGTGTAGTGTAGCAGATTTTGCTGGGTTTTTCGGTGAAGATTACACGGGTTTTGACACCATTCATGCTTTTGTTCGTGGGGAAATCTCATTTCGATGTCTGGGCTTCGTTGGGGCGTCCGGGGGAGGGGGGGGAATGTTCCAGCCTGGCACATCCCCGGCATGAAGCGCAAAAGACGCACAATTCGAAGGTTCCCTTTCTGACAACGAGTCCCCCGAGCAAAATTTGCCGACACCACAGTTTCGTACAATTCGGAGCCTCAAGAACGAAAAGCTCACATGCAAACGGCCGGGAGGAGTGCTCAAGAAGGCGTCACCATGTTTGCAGTCTTCTAGAGTTTGGCACAAGTTTGGTGAAGAGTTGTTCTGCAAAGGCAGAACGATTTTGGGCGTTGTGACATGCTTGCCAAGGAGATTGATATGCAAACGATGGTTACAGGGTCAAACTCGACCGCTGTGTTTTGCATATTTTGGGAATATGATGGAAAAACGTACGTGTGTGGGTGTGTGTGTTTGTGGGTTATACGGAGTCCAATATAGTCCAATGAGAAAAACTGCGATTCTTCGGTCTGATACGGCAGCATCAGATAAGCAAGGTTCATTGTCATGTGCATGCGAACGACGAGAACGGCGACATAATACCATACGGCACCGAGATATTTTGGCGGTGGCAATTCTTTCTCACACGGTATGTGGCTCGGAAAAGCTGGCACGGCATTCAATCCCAATAGAAAAGTTCATATTTTCTGATGACTGTAAAGTTGTGATATGATATGCCCATTCAAAAGACTGCGGAGCCGTGGCCTTTAACATATTTCTTGTGTGGTACTCGTTCACAAGCACAAGCCACTTGTTACGGTCCGAGTGTGTGGGCAGTCGTCCGGCATTTCGGGCCCTGGTCCATCCTTTTTTCAGAGACCACATGGATTCGATGGGAATGGTTTACGATTTCGTGTTTCACGTCTGACGAAGACTAGTTGTGCTCACGCCTAAATGATTTCATTGCAGAGACTGTTGCCTGCCACTTGTCACTCACAAAGATATCATTCTTCTTGAGGTTGAGCATGCCTAAATGTTTGATCATCTCCTTACGCCCTGGTGGTTTGCCGTCATAAGCATCTTTGGGATGTTCGAGAATGCGAAAGATGACATGTGTGCTCACATGTCCTTGTAGTACAGCACCCCAAAGCCATATATGATCGCGTTGAGAGCGTCCACATATGGTGAGTATACTAGGCTTTCTGTTGTTGAGGTGAGTCTCATCGGCGGCGATGAGGATCGAGGATCCTGCCTTTAACCCTTTGTTTTCGAAATGGTTTTGGTCACGCTGGCCTTCCTGTATATCATCGAACTGGATGACGGACGCTTCATTATCGAATTAAACCTGGTAGAGGATGATTTGCTTGTTGACGTCTCTCTCAATTTTGAATGATGGATAGGACCGTCCAAACCGAAACTGAGCTGATTCTCGAACCAGTTGCTGATAGCCTCTTGGAGCTCCATCAACCAAGGATCCATGCGTTTATGGCCGAGTGGATGTAGCTCGCGAAGCATGAGTTGACGCGGGTACTGTGGATCCACACAATGAAACAGTCGAGCTCAGGCATCCAAAATTCAGGTTTCATATGTCGTAAGAATCCAAGAGCTGTGGCTGAACACGGTTTGCCATCACACTCGTGACATGCTTCATCGTATCGAGGACAACACCATCGGTACAATCGCATCTAGTAGCACAGCCGAAATGAAGCATTGCATTGTGGACACCGGCGATCTCGAGGGACAAGACGCAAGGCTTGACAAGCGAGTAGAGCTCGAGTGGCCTCGTTATTCGGTAACAATGCGCATTCGCTACATGGCTATGCTTCATGCGGTCGAGGAAAGCGACTCGCTTCACAAAATTTGCGGTTAGGATAGCCTCAGCAAAGGCTATAGCCAATCCGCATAAGTCGCCATGGTGAGAAATGGTTTCGGGCAGCTTTCGATACGAAAGCTACAGGCGCATCAAGACGAAACAATACTAACATCATGAGCATCCGTGATTGCTACGGCTACGGTTGCAAGCAATGTTCAGTAGTGGTGTATCGGAGTCTGTTCTTCAGCGGACGCGGTCTTAGTACTGCGAGCAGCATGTCTTTCCACGATGGCACGTATATGGGTTAGTACTGCTGTTTTCTTAATATAAGGTACATGTCTCTGCTTGTAAATGCTATCATAATCCTGATGTTCAGCGATGCTGCCGGTGCATTGTGACAGGTCACAATTGGCGAGACAAAACTATCCGACACTCAAATTCCTAGCAGCTGCTCTCATAGCGAACGTGCCTGCGACATAGTTCTAATCCGTTTCCATGTGTTCGGCTTCCTGTTCTGCGATCTTTTCGAGGTCCCTTTCGAGACCATCACCGTCATAATTGTCCGACATGTGCTCAGGATTGGTACCGACGGCGGGAAGCACGTCACCGTCGGAATCTGAATACTGAGGTCCTTTTGTTACTCCACATGTTCTTCAAAAGAGTAAACGCACATTCAACATAAAGTCAAAAAGGTGAAAAAGAACAAGACTCTGATGAACTCTGGCTTCGGAATGGCGTGGTCGAGACCGGGACACATAGAGGCTGACGCTCCTGCGGAGCGCATAGACGGTGCGGAAGTGCGTGGACGCTTTACCTGTTCGTGTGATGAAACTGGCTTCTCGTCCGTGCTTTTCTTACGCGACGGGGAGTCCAAGTCGATGATGGCACCTCGACGGTCCCGGGATGTTGTCAGATTCCGAATGACGTTCATGCGCATTGTATCTGACGAAAGAAGCTTTGGTTGATGGATGATTGCCGGCCTTATGAGAAACAGGTGGAAAAGGCAATATCATAATATGCACGAAATCACCGTGTAGTTGAGAAGAGCTATAAATGCGAAAATACCTCGAATAACCCCCAATAAGCGAAGTCGCTCTATCATTATGATACACATGAATACTCATGGCAATACCCCCCCCCCCCCCAATAAGCGAAGTCGGTCTATCATTATGATACACACGAACATGGCTTGAATTGCCCCCCAGTAAGCAGAACTACATACAATACACACGAATGTATCTTGAATAACTCCCAATAAGCAGAACTACATACGATACACACGAATATGCATTCAATAACCCCCCAATAAGCAGAAGTACATACGAAGATATTTCGAAATAATCCCCAAAGAAGCAAGGTTCGTATTCTCATTATACTGTAGTTACAGCATAGATGCCTAGCATCGCCTATCATGCTCCTGGGTCGGTGTACGATATTATAGCCTCTTGAAAGTTGTTCGCCATTTACTAGACGTCGGAGAACTTCCTGCGACCATGCGGAATCCTCATGGAAGGAGGGGAGAAGCTGATGTCCTTGTGGATTCATTTTGTACGGTTTGCAGTTTGCATGCTGGGAGGGAGCAAGCAAGTCTTTCGGCTCATTGTCCAACGCAATGAAGTCTACTGACCCTTTTCCCGTAGATGCTACACGATGATTGTCTGTAAGGACAATGAGGTGCGTGCGTGCTAGAATCGCGTCCAAGTCTTCTTCTTCGTCCACGGCCATGAATGAAGGCATGATCAACTTGACAAAGTCGCTGCAAGAAATTTCCCAAAGCGTCGTGGTGTTCATTTTCGCGAACATGTCTTCGTCGACTTTGCGGTCATAGGGATTGTTGCGCGCGTGGTGTCCTGCACCCTGTTCGAAATGAGCTGATGAGTACCGCGCCCAAACGGTAGCGTCTTCTTCCTAACTACATGCGTTTTCTAATCTGATCTTATGTCTTTGGAAAGCTTACTTATCCGATTTCGGACGAAACTTGTCAAACAAAATGCTGACTAAGTATGTTGAGGCGCGGACCGGTTGAGGAAGGCTTTCCAAAACGAAGCATCCATTTTTTGCAACATGCCGTCATCAAACACCCCTGGTTTGAATTTGGTGAGAGGCTCCGCCTTAAAGAAATCGAGGTGCTTCGCCGAGAGAATGGATGGAACCAAGTCTGCTCGCTCCGCCAAATCGATTTCAACAATCAGACTCTGCAAACAAGACTGTTTTTGGATCCCAACGATTTGCCGGTCCGTGTACGTCCAATCCAGGTAATGGAGTGCTGGCGCATGGTTAGTAGCATGCGGGTGAGGATGGGGTCGAAGAACCATGGGGTGAAGGATTTCAATGTGAACGGCCAATATTCAAGCGTTTTTGCATTCTGGCGGACTCGCATGTAGTTGTGAAGTGCCTCCTTGACCTTTCCTTCCGTCCACCCTTCTATTTGGCTACCCGGTGTGTTAATGTGCTCGTCAGTCCATTCCATGAATTGGTTCTTGTTGTGGCTCTTGGGGCCAAGATCACGGATGAATCTGTATCCATCGTCACATGCTTGCCGGCGATGGATGGTGATCTTCTTTTCAAACTTGGAGCCAAAGGCGAAGCTGTTTACCTTCCATTTGGTCTATACTGAAGTCCCGACAATGCCACCCTGCTATGGGAGCCCCAGTCGAAACGAAGAGGGTTCCCACGACACATGTTCATGCACTCGGACGCCACCAACTTGTTAAGGTGCAAATAGATGTGCTTGAGGATGTGCACGTATGATCCATTAGGATCACCTTCGGGAGGGGGTTGCGTGGACTGAATCACAAGTTGCATGGTGTAGGGCACCTTGGGTTGATTTTTGAAGTCGAAGGGCTCTGGAAGCTACGCCAAATTTTTGTCGCAAAAGAATAGATGTTATCGAAGATATCCTGGGTGACGTCTAAGAGGTGGTACACAATTAATTGCATCCGCAAACTGTTCCACCTTTGAAGACTCCATTCGACGTACAGGAAGATCCCCGATATCGACATTGCCTATACAGCACGAATGGACTTGAGAGGACGACGCTCTGGACCTTGAAGTTTCATGCCATTGGCCTGACCACAAGCCTCACCAAAAGTAAGACTTCCATCCTGACCACCTTCTTCCGCACGGCAACTTGTCATGAGTCGTGACTGCTGTACAGATATGAGTCACCGGAAAATAGAACTAAGCTTGAGTACGGAACGCCGCGAATAATAAGCTGTATACGGCATGAGTGAAATCAGTGATGCATGAGCGAGGTCTGTGATGCAGCACACTGCTGACATGCATCGGCAAATTATGGAACACGCAGCGGTTCATTGAACTGTCTATTGGGAAGCCAATGTGCCTCAAAACGCCGCCGCAATTGATACGATCGTCTTTGGAAACGTAAAAAATCAATCCCAAAAGCAAAGCCCAACAACACAAAACCAAAAAACAGACAAGTAATTCGTTCAGAACACTCCCATTTGTGTATATGTTTAAAGCCATTCTGGACGAGCAGTGAAATAAGTTTTTTTTTTTGTGTGTTTGTGTTGTTGTTTTTTGTTTTGTTTTTTTTTTGTGGTTTTGGTTTTGATTTTTCGCAGTTTTGTCAAGGAAAGGGGCTGGTGTTTCTTAGGGTTTTAAGTACAGCAACGTCCCTAAGCGCAAGACTTGATAGCGATGTCGTCGAGGAGGCGGGCCTGAACTGCGCTAAACGCAGCGGCAGAGTTCGGCCCCCGAACCCCAAAAAAATAAATAAGTAAATCAAAATCGAAAATCAATATATGTATGTTTATTTTCATATTTATATCTATATTTATGTACATAGCGTAGAAAACACCCAACAAGAAAGCATGTCATGAGTAACGTGCAGTGTGTGTGTGTGTGTGTGTGTGTGTGTGTGTGTGTGTGTGTTTGTGAGTGTGCATGGAACTTATGTGTGATCGAGCCTAATCATACCTGCAAAAGAGGTGTCTCTATCCCGAGTTGCGTGATGCTATCGGCTTGGCCCAAAGTTTGGATGATACGCAACCAAATCATTCAGCAGTGTGGCATCAAGGTGCCTCCATGCTCTGGCTTGTCAAAGTTTCCCAAGAGGCTGAACATTGCTGAACATTGGTCACGCCCAGAGCACAAGTGTTTCCAATGGCTAGTGTAGCGGCTAGTGTCGCTGCGGCTGCCTCTACTCTAATCACTTGGCAGGCCCACAAGATCCAGCTGGCTGGTATTTATCACTCGCGCTATGCGCTGTATGAGGCCAAAACACCCTCGTCGCTCAACTGTAAAGCAGTATAAACGAACTGCGTGCCGGTGATCCACTGGGCTTGCCAGCAGGTGTCAACGGATGTTCTGCGGCATATGCTACCTCCGTCGGAAGCATAGCACAAATCTCGGGCGGTGCTGTTGAAAAGGGAGCCCTCCAAGAATGAAAGCATCTGCAGGGTAGAGGTTCTGCACTATGCCGCCAAGTTTGCAGATGCGTTCTCCGAGGCAGGAGAGTGAGAGCCATGGCCGGTTGTTTTCCCCTTGGCGGTCGGGCACTTGGCAGGTGCGAATCATTCTGGACCAGTTGGCGGACAAGCGTGACGGGACGCGCGGAGTTTCGTCAGCTCCTCAAGACTCGCGATTTGGACGCACAAAGCAACTGATTCTGGTGAATACCCTTGGAGGTTACCAGTGGCTGGGCCGTCTCGAACGGAGGACGGACAGCTGGCTCGGGGTGGTGTGCTGGACGGTCCGTAGCATGATGGGCTGCGGTCGAAACGAATTTGACAATCACCGGATTTGCCCAGCAATAAAGGTCCAAGCTGCCATTGCATTTCTTCTTCATCGCTTAGGTTTGTGTCGACTTCGATTGCTTTTGCTGCTGGTTTGTTACCATGCTCACTTCTTTGTAGAATATCTCGATTTGGTTTGGACATCCATGACTGTACCAGACATGTGACATATCCCTTTGATTCGGAGACACCGTTAACAGCTTTGCTCTGTGTGATAAGTATGATAATCCTGAGGAAACCCGTGATAAGCATGAACATTCTTCCTGTGATGAACATAGATGGCGAGGGTGTGCAGAATCCGATGGAAACAATGGGACAGTTTGCATGACACTCTTATGCTATAGCCCACGCTGACTCATGCATTGGAGATGTGGTACGCAGATCATTCAATGGAGGGCATACGACGAGTTGATAGAAACATGCCTCCTCATCCAACACAGGTCCTTCCATCAATGTGGATTCGTTGTTCTTGCATGCATTCGCTGTTTGGCAAGCCATTTGTTCCTGAGGACGACGGTGGTGCATTTTCGGACATGACTTTCATCGACAGTCTGGCTTGTATGCTGAAGCTTGGATTTTGCTTTTGGGCGCTGCCAGCATGGCCAGGTCCGAAATTTGACATCTTCGTGGCACTTGGACCATGCTTTGCTTGCATCATTGCGATTACCTCAGAGCAGACAAGCACGACGGCACTTGTTTTTGCTCCTTGTAAGGGTTCGGCTTTGGCCTTCAGAAGGGCACGTCGAAGCAGGCTTCCTTACTGCTTACCCTCTAGAAATCGTGTGCCGAACCCGATCCCGTGACTGCCAGGCCAATGCCATACTACCATTGCCGACTTCGGAGCCGGAGGTCGCCTAAAAGTCTCCACGAGCGAGAGAGAGCGAGAGCGAGAGAGAGAGAACTGCACATTACCCTCACGAAGGCCGCCTAGGCGCGGGTCTAGCTTGCTAGACCTGGACCCAATGCAAACAAGGATTGTGAGCACAGTCAGGCGGGCACTACTGCAACTTCCTGAATAAGACCGGAGAGCGCGGCGGCTCAGAGACCGAGCCTGGGCCGCCCGGCCGCTGCGGCGCTTTCCTCGGCCAGGTATTGCTGCCACGCCTTTGATGGGTCGCCGCGTGCAGCGTACTACACCAGCGGATTGGTCGTTTCCCCGCCTTGCATACTGTGGCCATCGAAACGGACAGCACACCAGGTTCAAACCCAGAGGCTCGACGAGCCCTTCGACCTTGGAAGGTGCCAAACTCTTTGCGGCTCTGCAAGCTCTGCATGAAGCTGACATGAGGCACTTCGACTGGGTGATTTGCCTCGAGGCAGGTGTGGGGTTCTGGGCTGAGTTTCGCAGTGGGCTACGGCGGCTACGGCCAGGTCATGGAGCACATTCCGGCTTCTCACGAGGCAGGGAGCACCTTCCTTGGGTCGCAAAGATCGCTTAAACGCTCACCACTTTGCCAGGCCATTGCCCTTGCCAACCTAAGACGCCATGCGACCAAGGGAATGGTGTTGTCGTGGTGCGCCCTCTGCAGGATGTAGCCACAGATGCATCCGTGACGGCATTGCCGCTTGCACAGTGCTGTCCGCTGGAGGTCTCAGCATGGAGGGGCGAACCATGTCAATGCAAGGCGAGTCCCAACGTTGTCCTCGGCTTCGTATTCCTTGTTAGCCTGTTTCGACACCCAGGGACTGGACCAGTTCCCAGAAAGTTGTGGAGGCCTGGGTGAGCGATTGAGATCATAATCGCAACACCAGCTTGAACCTTCGTCCCGATTTCGGCGGAGTTGGGAGCTAGCACCGGACTACGTATGGCGGACTGCAACTCAGTGCCGATGTCCGGGCCGGGTCTGCCGTGACCGAATAGAACGGAGCAAGCGCGCGGATGCAAGTTACAAGAAACACAGAAGCTCACAGCTCAGGTTCTGGTTCAACAGCCATGTCATTTTTGAGTGATGTTCTCAAGTTGCTGTAGCCTACTTAAACCTTTCACAGTGTTTCTACGCTGAAAATCCCTTGCTGTTCAGCTGGGGACTGACAAAAACTGCAGCTGGCAAATAAGGCAGTGTCACTCACCACTTGACATGGTGTGTTGCTTGAAATTAAGAATCAGGCAGCTGACGCACGGTTGACAGTCGGTATCTCAATGCCAAGAACATCGCCACATGTGTGCAGGCTGCCGGCTTCAAGCTGGATGTTGAGTCCACTCACACTCTGCGAACGCAGGCCACGTTGAAAGACTTGGAGTGCGGCGGGCTTCAGCACTGTGACTCGAGGTGGAGTGGCTTCAGGGAGCCGTAAACATCTTCAAGGTCGCAGGATGATTGGCAAAAAGTATTGACAATGCCGCGGCTTCCGGTGAGTTGCAACGTCTCGGTCGCTGAGTTTTCTGACTTTGTGGTTGTTGTGGCTTTTGCGTCCCGGTTTCAGTACACAGGCAAGTGCAGACCAATCAGTTTCCCGTTTGGCAAGATGAAACTTAGCAAGCCACGAAGCTATTGCATGTTATGACTCCTCGTTGGGGGGGTGTACTCGAAGGAGTAGAGTAGTAGAGGGTACAGGACGATTTGCACAGCAATTGAACTGAAACTCCTGCGCTCAATGGCATCCCTCGAGGCGGGGCCGGCAGGGTGGCGACATGGGAGCCATAAAAAGAGCCTTAGCCAAAACAGGCTCCCTTTCACTACTGCGTGATCACGGCTTCGTCGCCTTCACAAGCATCCTTGTACGAAAGGTTAATTCGACGTGACGCGCTCAGACAAGAGTTGACAAGAATGGCTAAGATGTAGAGGAGTATCCGAGTCACTGAGAGAGAGAGGTCGTGTAGACTGCGGCCAATACCCAAGCAGCTCGGCTGCGTTTCAGTTCTTGCCCCTGCAAGCAAGCTGCGACGTGCTCACAGCTTCTTACGGTGCTGTCTTCCGCGCTTATTCTGCCTGTAAGTCAAGCGGTAGCGGAAGCACAGAATTTGAGGGGGTGGCTTAAGCCCCTATCATGCGTGGCTTCAGTTAGGCTGCTGTTGTAAGACCTCAGGCAGAATAGGTTATACATGCAGATATGCTCTGGATCTATAGATGTCCCAAGAATTAGTGGAGCGAAGGCGGAGAAACCCGATCCCTACAATCGTGTATTTTTTGGGAACAAAAAGCCGGGATGCCGATCGTACAGTCTGTTAGCAATTGTAGGCAGGCAGACCACCTTTGCAGCACGACATGACAACGTACATGCCCTGTGGTGGGTCTGCATCAGTGGTCTCAGACTCAGTGTGTTCCTGAGCGCACGGTGGATTGTAGGACGATCTGTCATAACGTCAGCAGGAGCCGTGGGAGTAGAGGAAGATAGAGGAAGTAGCCCACTGCAGAAAAAAGCTGCCGCTGTGCTCGCCTAGACCAGCAGATGAGCTCTTGCGTGGACCGTCAAGGATGCTACACAACACCCGCAATCGTTCTGGAAGTACCTGCACCTTGTACTTCCAAGCAAACGTAGCATAGGTGGAAGTGGTATGAAGTGGTTGTTGTTTTGATTGTGTTGTACAGAGTCACTATACGCTGCAGTACAGCAACGAATATAGGTTTTCCACGCACTTTCCATGCTTCCCGGCGGTCGCGCTTGAAGGCTCTTTCAGACCTCGCCGGATCAGCCTTCCGGCAACTTCCTTTGGCTTGGACAGGTACGCTGGGATAACGATGTGCAGATGTATAGTTTCTGGACCTACGTGTGTGGTTCTGGGCTGGAAGTAGATGGTGACGCTGACGGGTTCTCCATCGCATCGGACGCTTCAGACGAAGCCACCAGTACAACTTCTGATGCTAGTGAAGTCGTTGAAGACGACTCAGAGCAGATCAAAAGTCCAGAGGAGGTTGCTCGACGGTGCACCGACTCGGGATGCGTCTGGCTGTGGGCAGCGTGTCTAGCATCCTTTGCCGTCTGTATTTTATTAGGAACACTGCAAGAGGAGCGACACCAGTTCGTGAGGCTCACGAACAAAAGAGGTACACAATGTGGCGTTTTTGATCAGAAGGGCAAAGAGTTTTGGTTTCTCTGCACGGCGAACGAGTCAAGCTTCGCGGACTCTATCGCCACATGCGTGCCAGACTGTGCAATGGGGAGCGATCTCAATAGCTACTGTGAGGATGCTGCGTTTTCGGAAGATGCAACGCTGGGCGGGAATTCAACTCCTTCGAATAACTACACGTACCTGGCTCGGCAAGCTGGACCTCTTTGCGTACCGGTGCACGCTGGCCGTGCTTCGAGCTTCCGTCGGCAGCTGGTGGAAAGGGGCTTTTTGTCCATCGATATGTTCTTGACAGCAGAATCTTCGTGGCCTCCTTTGGTGTTTGCTGCTGTGCTGTCAGTTGCAATATCGCATTCCTGGATTCGGGTTCTTCGTGACCATGCTGGCACCTTGGCGTGGGTGGGTGTCTACTTGCTGGTGGTTTTTCCGATTGGAGTCTTAGCCTACGAGTGGCTCCAAAGTGGTTACGTATCCATCATCTCCATGACGCTGACTGCAGTCGTCGTGTGCTGCATCTCATGCCTGGCGTGCCGCAGTCAAGAGAACCTTGACAGAGCCACTCTCTGCCTCAACGCTGCCTGCCAATGCGTCGGGTGCTGAGTTTCTGCACGGGCTGCTGCGAGCCACTGAAACATGAGTCAAGCGCAACCAACGAGTGCCATCGAAGTTCCCAAAGGGTTTCAAGACGGGTCAAGCATGTGACATATCATACGTCAGAGTTCCGACAGCAGCAGCACATGACAACTGCCAATTGGTAAGTTTCATCTGGCCAAGCGTCAGGCTGCAAAATGTGGGTTGTAGGGCTGCGGTTAGGGTGGAGCCGGCAGGTCTCTGGCAGGCTGCAGGCATTGTCCAGGTCCATGTGGCTCGCGAGCAAAGCAAAGTGCGTGGATCGTCACTGCATGGTGTGGCCATCTGTTGTCAACTGTGAGCGAAATCCAGAACTGCCGGATAGAATCCTATTCCTAGCATCTACAAGCAGTGCAGCTGTTTCATCCAGGGTGTTGGTAGAGCAAGGCTGTATATCATTGCTTCAGCACAGGCGGAAGGTGAAGCATTGATGAGTGACGCAACATGGTTTTTATTGGATGCTGATCAGGGCCTTTCTGCTCGTTTGATTTGAGGTGACGGACATGCCGATTCTGCAAGTTGGGCCAGTTGCTACCTTGGCTTTACAGTTGGTTTCGGGAATTGCCATCTTATGGGCACTGCAGTTCATGCCGACGACTTTGCACATTGATCTTCGCGATGGCCGCATCGGCTGCCAGGCGTATGGTGGACACGTGAGAAATCTTGCGGATGTGTCCATTGCTGGAATCTACATCCTGTTCTTGCTGTTTGTGCTTAATGTTATGAACGCCTTTTGGGAAATGGGCATTGTATTCCTGACCGTGCAATGGTTCGTGCACCTAAGAAGAAGCGACGATCCTCCACCTTTCTCGAAGTCGTTGAGGCTCTTGTGCATCATGTGCAGGTACCACGCAGGGACCATCATATTTGCCGGAATTCTTATTGGATTTGTTCGACCGCTTCGTTTCTTGCTTGGCACCATGACAGCTGCCACGCGCATGAGGACCAATGTACAACTACTACTTTATCACTACTGCTACCACAGGTACTTCTACAACTGCTACTAGTACTGGTACTAGTACTAGTATTGGTAGTAGTACTGGTACTTGTACTCGTATTACTTCCTGTACTAGTACTCGTACTGGTACTATAGTACTCGTGCCAGTACCATCACTAGTACTAAAAACAATACTAATTAAAGTAACAACTACAACAACTACAACAACTACAACAACTACAACTACAACTACAACAACAACTACTACTACTACAACTACTACTACTGCTACTGCTACTACTACTACTACTCCTACTACCACTACTACTACTACTACTACTACTACCACTACTACTGCTGCTCCTGCTACCAGTACTAATACTACTGCTACTACTGAAAAAATTGCTACTACCGCTACTACGGCTGCTACTGCTGCTGCTACTGCTATGCCTACTGCTAATGCTACAACTACTACTACTACTACTACTACTACTACTACTACTACTACTACTACTACTACTACTACTACTACTACTACTACTACTACGGCTGCTACTGCTGCTACTGCTGCTGCCACTGCTATGCCTACTGCTGCTACTACTACTACTACTACTACTACTACTACTACTACTACTACTACTACTACTACTATTATTACTATTACTACTGCTACTGTACTGCTACTGCTACTACTACTTGTGCTTTGCTTGCACAACTGCTCACGAGCGACCTGTGTAGAAGCCGGCAATGCTTACAGCATTGGCTCAAGTGGGGAGCGATCATCCCTCGTATGTTGACAGCAGGATCGTCTGTACATGCCATATTGTTCATAAGGCATCGTGCCGACGGCACCCAGCATGCCTTCTGCAGTCGAGCAGTTTTCTCACAGCACTGTAGGCAAGTTTAAATATTGTTCAGGAGCAGGACACCCAAGCTATAATCAGAAACCTACAAGCTGAGGAAAAGAACAAGCATGATTGATCAAGCGTTGAAGACTCGGAATCACAAGCACTTGGAGGCTCCAAGGCGATCCTGGCGACCTTTCTGCGGCGCAAGACATCCTGGATGCCGTTGCCACTTACTTGCAGAATGTTGGCGTGGAGCGGGCTGTCGGCGAGATCCTGGCGGCGGGCGCCCGCTCCAAGACGCCGGTGCCGCGGAGGATGCCCTCCTCGCGGACATCGATGCGTTTATGGACCGTGCCGATCGTGAGTCAGGTCCCGGGCGCCGTCACCAAGGACGAGCCCATGGGGACCAAGAGAAATGGAAGCCGGCCTGGTGGCGGAGCTTCGTCGTTCGCATTTGCACAGAGCCGCTGTGCACGGGCAGCGCCTCCCGGCTGCTCTGTTTCCGGAGGCGACGCCCACCGATGGCAACCGCCAATTCAAGACTAATTATAGGGGTGGCCTTTCCGACTTTCTCGGGAGGGGTATACTACTTTGAGATGACTCCCACAGCGAAGTGGAAGCTGGACAGAACGCAGGGCCGTGACGTGGTCTTGCACCTGCTCCAGGAGGGTGACAATCTCCGTCTTAAAGACGGGTACTTTGAACCGGGTGCGAAAATCAGCGGAGCGAGCGGAAGGCAGCTAAGGCCGAGGCCAAGCGGGCGACCCACGCCGCTTTGGAGGCTGCTATCCGCGTCGCCATCCGCGATGCGCCGAGTGGAACCTTTCCTATATCGGCGGCTTCGTCGGCACGTACTGCACGTCGTCGTCCGCGGCTGGCGTTTTGCCGCACGGGACCGGACCCGAGGCGGTAGCAGCGCCCGGCCGCAGAGTCGGAGGAATAAAACCCGGGCGCGGCAGGGGTCCCCCTTCGCCCGGGGTCACCGACTGCCTTTACTTGGCGGGCGAGGGCTACTATATCATACTATATCGCAGCCGGAGTGAACGTCATCAGCCGCGCGGGCCCGCGCGATAAGCCAGTGCTCAAGTTAAGCGCCTGCCATTGCAGCTTGCGGCACCGCCGGTTCTCCGGAGGGCAATGTGGGACCAGTGTCGGCCCCGCCGAGGCCCGTTGGTTGCGTGGCCGGGTCGATCTGAGTGACCTGGCGGCTTGTAACCCACCGGCGACCTTCCAGAGACGGTGTGCAGCCATGGCGCTGGAAAACCGTCTGTGACCGTCGTCAGCGGAGGACCAACATTTGGTTCGGTGCGCCTCGGGCTCTTGGAAGGCCTTGACAAGCCTGGCTCCGTAGCTCGTTTCTGTGACCATCTGCGGTTGGTAGTGACCACCGCAGCCGAGCTCAGGCCTGGCGTGGGAGGCAAGACACCCATAGGCGCACTGCTGGTTGTGTCCATGTTGGTGCCGAATTGCACATCGACCATGGAACCAGCATCGCCGATCGCAGAGATGCCCGCGTCGAGGCCGAAATGTCCTCCGAGGGGGAGGGGTGGCGCAGCTGGCATCCCCGAAACCGACCCAGCCGCTCGGAGATCTGCGGCGATCCTGAGCACTTCTTGACCGACCAGCGCGTCGATCGGAGGGCCCATGGCTTCGGCGGCTTGTTGTCGTAACGCCGCAGCCTGACCCGCGGCCAAGCCCTGTGAAGCGGCATCGAGAGCCGCGATCGCATCCTGTATGTCTCCATCCAGCCTGGTGCCCACATTGTTGATCTGCGGGGGCACGGCCGCCAGATGTCTGCCAACTTTGTCCAGCCACATTCCCAGAACTGGCCCAAAGCGACCTTCGCCTTTGCGTTCGCCTCGAGCCGTTTGGTGGCTCTGGATATGGCTGCAGCCTGCTGGTTGGCCGCCTGGATGAGCGTTCGGTCTTCTGCAACCGTAAAGTCGTCCATTCTGAGGTCGGACGTTGCTCGGTCCCGAATCGACTGGAAATAACCTCGGTGGGGAAGCCCAGCTGGACTTGCGAGGTCGAAGGAAGGGGCCCTTCTAGTCTGGCCTGCTTGCCCCCGCCCTTGCCCTGCTTCTCCTTGGTCGCGTCGATGACTCCAGGGGAATCGAAACTATATACGCCCTCACCCTGCAGGAGCCCACGTGCGCCTCTGCACGGGCTCCTCCGCGACGCTTACATCGCAGACGGCCACGGCCCGGCTGTGGGCGCGGGCATCGTGGGGCTCCACCATGCCAAAGCCCTGCTTCGGCGCGGCGAAGTGGAGTCGGAGCTTGTCGGCTCCTTGAATTGGAGCACAAGCTCCAAAAGCAACCTGGAGTGCGGCGTGCACCTAACGCTTACCTCCAGCGCGGTATAGTAGTCCTAAACGCCCGCGACTTCGAGCGTTGCTTTGACGCCGGCGTCCGCCTTGAAGACGCCAAGCCGCCGGAGCAGGAGGCGGCTGCATCGAGCAGCGCCGGCGTCGCACAGCAGCAGCAGCAGCAGCAGCAGCAGGCTGTTGTTGCGTGAAGTGCTCGCGGCGGGCTTCCGCGCGGCACGCGCGAAAGCCTGCGGGCATTCTTTGCCGCAGCTATGAATTGGCCCGGCTCTGTTTTATTAAGCCTTCAGCCAAGGCCGCTGCAGGACACCTGCGCGGCTAGAGCAGTGTCTTCACGGGCCTGTGGTTCGGCAGGGGCATAATAATTTGCCCAGGTGGCCAGCGGTTTTGCGCAAGGCGTTGTCGCTGCTACCTGTGCAGTTTTCTGCGCAGTGGTCATGCGGACCCTGCGCTGCCGAAGAGCGGAGAGTGGCCTTGATGGCTTATTCTCGCGGCCCTTGCTTTGGCCGCTGGACACCTATAGTGTCGCGCCTGGCGGCGCCTGTGCTCTGCACTCCCGCGCGGACCCTTGAGCCGGCACGCGGACCTTGTCGGTCGCGACCGTTCCTGAAACGGTGCTGCCTGCGGCATCTTTTGCGCGACCTTTGTGGAAATGGTCGCTGGACACTTTCGTGTCGAGCCAGCCGGCGCTTGTGCCCCGCACCGCCGTGCGGCTCCTTGCGAAGGCTGGCGTGCGGACCTTGTTCTGTATGAGGGTACGGTCCGCACGGCCGTTCTTCGGGGCGCGGCTCCGCGGTGTAGGAGTAGATGTACATAGCGTGAGCCCTAGCGTGAGCCGTAGCTGTAGTGTAGTTGTACATTAAACAGCTCTTTCAAGAGCCTCCGACATCCTCCGACCCAGGTTGGAAAAGGGAGGTCCGTGCGAGCGTCGGAACGCTCAGGGCTTAGGAGGGTTGCTAGTGGGTGCGCTCGTCGTTCGGTCGTTGTCGTCAGGGCTGTGCCCTACTGCCCGCGACGCGCCCCACCCTTCCTGGCACTTTGATGTGGGGGGTTACCTGGGAGCCTCGGCTGAGGGGTGAATTTTGAGTGCATATAATATATGTGTCAGGGCATGTGCATCAGTCTCTGCAGTGCTGTTTGTTTTTGCATGTTTGTGTAATTTGTACATAGATTGTCCAAAACGAATCGTTTTGGCTCAAGTGCCTTGTTCTTAGATATTAAGGACGTGCCAAGTGTGCACGGCTGCACTTCAGCTAGTGTAGCCCTTGAGTTGCCCGCCTGCGGTCGGTCACGCGACCACTAGCACTACCACTATCTCCTTCTATCACCTCTGCTACTACTACTACTACTACTACTACTACTAGTACTACTACTATTACTACTACTACTACTACTACTACTACTACTACTACTACTACTACTACTACTACTGCTACTGCTACTGCTACTGCTACTGCTACTGCTACTGCTGCTATTATTACTACTTACTACTTACTACTTACTACTCACTACTTACTGCTTACTACTCACTACTACTACTACTACTACTACTACTACTACTACTACTACTACTACTACTACTACTACTACTACTACTACTACTACTACTACTACTACTATATAGTTGAAAATATTTCGAGACCCCTCAAAATCGACCCCCCCAAAGGCAAGTTCCTCAAAATAAGAAGCCGGACAGTGGACACGGCTAAAGCCACTATTAGCTCTTAAAACCGGGCTTTTGGAAGCTATTAGTTTTCAAATGCTTGTGGCCGTTTCGCTTCTCAAAAGGTCCTTTTAAGTCTCTGTTTTCTCCTCGAAATCCCTCGAATGCTTATGCTGTGCTGGATTCCTGCCATCTGCGAGCATAGAACCAGAATAAAATACACTGGTACATCTGCAACTTTTGTTCGCAGTCATCTGCTTCCAAAGGACCCCAAGTTAGAAACGTTGGAACCCAGCGCACACAGACTATCAGAGTGAGTCTATGCGATGCAAGGGTGTTTCCTCCCTAAGCGGCAGACATGTGTTCAGAAACAAATTCAAATCCCGAAAAGGGCCTCTTGAGGCCTATAGCACGCTTCTGTCCTGATTTCGAAGGCATTTGAGCGCTCAAATGTTCTCAAATGCTGTCGAATGCCGTCGAATGTCCTCAAAAAGGCTTGTTAAGTCACCGAAACAGAGAGAGAGAGAGGTAGGGAAGGAGGGAGGGAGGGCATGACCTCAGGAATTGTGTCCTAGTAGACAGTAGTCTTGTTCTGATGTTTCTTTTCACATTGGCGCTTTGCACGAAACGCCTGCTGGCTTGCAGCCAGGGTACCACTGCCAACTTTGCTGGCGTGGCCACGGGCATACACAACAAACTTGAGCATTCAGCAAGCATCCGTCATTCAAGCTTCACAAAAAGCTGGCGCAAGCAAACGTGTGAGGAAACGTCCCCGCTCAAATGCTTATGTTGGTGTCTGTGCTTTGGGGGGGTCGATTTTGAGGGGTCTCGACAATTTGTCTGTTTACTACTACTACTATTACCACTGCTACTACTACTACTACTACTACTACTACTAGTACCACTACTATTACTACTGCTACTGCTACTGCTACTTCTACTATTGCTACTACTACTACTACTACTAACTACTACTACTACTACTACTACTACTACTACTACTACTACTACTACTGCTACCACTGCTACTACTACTGCTACTGCTACTCCTAGCACTACTACTACTACTACTACTACTACTACTACTACTACTACTACTACTGCTACCACTGCTACTACTACTGCTACTGCTACTCCTAGCACTACTACTACTACTACTACTACTACTACTACTACTACTGCTACCAGTACTGCTACTGCTACTACTACTACTAGCACTAGTACTTGTACCTCTATGACGACAACGACGACGGCAACTACTACCACTACCACCAGCACTTCGACTACCACCACCACTCCCGTAAGAAAAATCCTCTAGACTTGAGCAGTCAAGATCCCGGCATCTGAACGCACAGCAACCCGGACCATCCCGGACCCACAAGTTTAAGCCCTGTTGACAAGGACCAACCCAGTCAAGGACTGTTGCATGTCCTGCTGTTCTTGCCTGGTGGGCTTTTACCGGGACTTCCTGGAGCCGTTGTCCGTGAACGCTTACGTGGATGTCGCATTGCGTGGGTCTTCGCTGCTCCATGCTGCGGGCAGATCCCAGGAAGTCACCGAAGAAGACCGCATCACCGCCAATTCGCTGAATGGGATGACCTTCGTTTTCCAAATCATTTGCGTGGCGTTGACGTGGTGGTTCGGTTTTGTCACAGCGTACATTGCCGTTACAATGGTGCCCGCATATCGGGATTCTGAGAGCCCTAGTTTCATTAGAAACACCGCACATTGGTGCATCATCGGTGGCTGCGTAGCAGCTGCATGCGCTTATCCATTCGTCATGGTGTTCGACGTTGCCTCCGACACGATCCTTTATCTCAGCACAGACACAGTCATGGAAGCGATAGAAGATGACCCACGCCACCCCAGTGGCCGAGCGGCCACGCTCGGCGATGCCCCAGTAATGCGTATGTTGTATTCGATTGCCGAGTCTGTTGGTTTGGGCTGTGGTGGTGGGCGACCATGATGAAGGTTGGCGCAGTATCTGCAGCCTGTCCTCTAAAGCCGCACCAGATGTGCAACAGCTTTCTGCAGATAGTTGTGCGAGAGATGAGGTTTCAGTTGACTTTACGTTCGTGGGACTTGAAGCATGGGTGCGTGGAGCCTGCCGAAGAAGTCCGTCGACATGGTGTTTGCCATGGCGAGGCCGGGTACTTGCAAGTGCCTTGGGAACCAAGGCCAGGCACAGAAGCAGGTGTCCGCTACGCTGAGAGGCGGTTTCTGGTGGCTCGTTTGTGCCTGCTCAAACACTCGTGCTCGTGTTGATGTGCAGAGAATACTGTAGCAACATGACATTTCAACTGAAACTCGATGCGAGTCCTGCGACGGTGGACATATGTCGCCATGCTGTCAGAATGGCGGGAGACAACAGACTGATGAGTGATGCATTGTCCGAACAGCCACTGCATCGCCTGTATCCCCGCTCCACAAGAACCTTCCTTCTGCATGTGCAATTACTAAGGCAATATCAGGTTTCGCGTCTATGCTGATCCGCCTCGCGGGCGGGTCGGCACATGGCTCAATCTCGCATGCTTGTTGTTATGTCGTGTTGTTGCGCTGTGCAGAGTCGAGGCAGTGGAGGTGGCACCATGGTGGCTTTGTTCGAACTCTACCAGCAAGAGCAGCAGCACTAAACTGAGCACAAGTTGACTCTGTTTCTGACTAGAATGTTGCATCCGTTTGAGAATGAGGCGGCAATCCAGTGCTCTTTCGGAAGCCGCCTTGGATGAGGAGAGCAGGCTTTGCCGTGGCTTTGACCACGAGCGTTGACAATTCATTGGAGAAAATATTGCTTGTTGTAGGAGGGTATCCTTGCTTTCTTCTCCAAGCAGCGAGTTCTGCTGCTCCACGCAGGTAGAGACGCCCTGGGGGCCTAGGGGCTGTAGGATGAGGATGTGGGACCGCGATTAGCAGTCGAGGAGGAGAAAGTCGCCGGCTTCCTTGTTATGTTCCAGAAGGTCAGGGCCTTTGGCGGAATGAGACGACACACGCTTTCTTGGGCAGCCTGAAAACACTGGGCAGCCAGGCAAGCTGTTCGGCCCTCTGGCGAGCTCCCAAAGAGGGGCGACTGCCTGTCGGACGAAATGCCCTGTGGTAGTGCTGGACTTCCTCCTCAGCCTTTACTTCAGGCCGTGTCCGCTTGTTCACGTGCAGCTGCTGGGTTACGAGTTTGGAGACCGCGGGGCTTTCCTCGGCACTTGGGCCAGTCGGCAGTTTGCAGCATGCTCGTTTCGGAGCAGGTATCCATGGGCTGATGGTGAGGTAATCCTCGCTTCTGGCAGCTCGCCGTTCAGTAACACTTCCGTACATCAATGATTTTTGCTTCCCTGGATCACCATTGATTCCGAAGCCTTGGCCCGACCTTTGCAACCGGAAATGATGCTGTGGGTCATGGCGTAGGAGATGTGATCGTGGACTTCGATGTGGCAGGACATACTGCAGCTGCTGTGAGTGTACTCGGAAAGTAGACCTTTCTGCACGTCATGCAGCCAGGGCAGCTCCGAGAGAACTTCCGGCGTGGATCAATATGTGGATTTGGCAAAGTTGCTTCTCTTGAACAAGGCTCGGTGCAGTACAGAGCACAGCACAGTAGAGTCAGTAGAGCAGAGAGAGAGAGGGAGGACGGGAGGATCGGATCTCCCTTCGCCTCCAGGCTCCCGTCATGGTGTTTTTGCATTCGGCGACCAGGACCAGGGGCCGACATATCCCGTACAAGACTTTTATCAAAAGTCTCCAGCAGCTTGAGAGCATCGAAGTCATCCTATTCAGAGCTTCTTGTTCAAAGAGCCCACATCTCAGGTTGAGAAACTGCGAAAAGAATGCCTGGTTCCGGGCATGCTGGAGGAGGCCTGTGCTTTGGACACAGGAATTTTTGTGGCCCTGCTGCAAATTTTGCATCATTCCCACACGTGAAGTTCACACTATGCCACCAACGACTGAGGCAATGTCTCCGGAGTGGTGCCTTGCATTTTTCAAGCTCGGTGCCGCCCAACACGATGGCAAGACACTGATCAAAGCAGTGCAGGTGTCTCACCTTTTGAGATTGAAAAGCCTAGCTGGCTGATTGACTTAGATGAATCGTGCAGGCATCGGACTTCTATTTTGACTTCTATGTCGAGGTTGTCATGGCCAGCTTGCCCGGGCAGACGCGGGAAAGCATGCTGCGTCTGGCAAAATCGTCCCTGCACTGATGCAGCAGGATGCGTGTGGCCTGTAGCGCAGCTTTTCTGGAGGAGCAGTTTGCCAACCGTGTTTCTGGTACATCCAAGCTTCCTGCGGCTATTCTGGATCTCATGCATGAGTCTTGGCAGAAGAAGACCCAGAGCCCATCCTCGTCATTGTTTCCAGTGCAGCGTTGTCAAGACTCAACTCAAAAGACCTTGGTACCAGGAACACCTTGGAAGCATCCTGTCTGCTCCGAGATTTCGTGTGGTTTACCATATTCTTGAGGGGACTCTGACTCGCATACACAGCCGAGGTCTGGAACTGAGGGGAGCGTTGCTGCAAGACTGTGCGGCCTGACAGCAAATTTTTGACGTCTTAATTCTGTGGGCACTAGGGATGGGAGATGGCCATATGTCGGCCCGGTCCAAGCAGCCAAGCGGGCTTGCTTGAAGATGCTTGAGATGATGATCCGAGGCATTTCTGCATTTTGGAAGCTTGGCTGTCATAGAACCTTTTGAACTCTTTGCAGACTACTGCTTCTTAAGGAACGCTCAAAGAGTTCCCTGCGGCCTCCCTTCAGATTTGCGAGCTTGGATTGCAGCCGTTACTTGGCAGCAGGCGACCCCGTAGCATCGCATCATTCTATCGCATGGCCATTTCACTCCACGCTTTGTAGGAGTCTCACTACACCATCACGGCACAATGGTCGTATTCTCTTGTGGAATGTCCAGCTCAAGCCAAGTGCAAACACTCGCAGTTCTTGTTCCTGCGCATTGTTGAGAAACGAATTTCGGCCATGTAGGCTCAATCAGGCTTCGGAGTTGATGCAACATCCTGCGATGGATACACACGTTGCACAAGCGCAAGTTGAAGCTCTTGCGAGAGCATCTGACTCATGACATGTATTACAGTCATCATGTGACAAAACCAACAGCCACCCTCCAGGTCCCAGCTGGGTACATGCAGGAAAGCCCAGGAAAGTAACACAAAGCTCCACAGGGGCTCATCAGAGGTAGAGTTTGGGAAGTATTCAGGGGGCAATTCACGTAAACTCTCGTGCAAAGCGGCTTGTTTGTACGCGAAAGCACGAAAGCAAGCTGTTCGCTGAGATGTTTCTGCAGCCTTCAGTGTAGGTAGATGTTGTGTCTGAGCAAGCTTTGAGTTTCTCCGGCTTCCCTGATGGTAGCGGTGCTAAGACGGACTTCGGATGACAGATGATGACAGGACACTCTCGGGATATGGAGGTATGAGCGCTTTTTGCTATCACGAAATCTAGCTATTGTTTATTTGGCCCTGTAACGACATATAACGGGGAGGGAGCGGGGGCTGCACGCAAATGTTTGCCCAAGAGGCACAAGGAGCCTGCGGAGTTGTACCCGGTTGCCAAGCCCCCCGCTTCTCCCTTAAGGTCAACCTGTCGAAGCAACATGGAAATTGCAGGAGTTTCGAAATTGCGATTGTGCAGTTTGTTCATCGGCGTTGCTTGAATTCTTCACGCTATGTGTGTTTACGCAGGTTTAATGTGTCGACCTGGCAGGATCTTATCGAGCACCAAGGCAAGTGCATGTATTGTCTAAGCATGTTTATTGTGTCGACCTGGCAATTCTATCACCACGGCACTTGCATCAATTTTTTCGCGGCCGAGTGTATCTGCGTGGTGATTTTTTTCTGTTGCCCCATCGGGTCTTTTTGGACCCTATGTAGTAGACCAGAGGCTTTTGTTATTGGCTCGCCGGGTTCGGCGGGGCCGGAGCAAAAAAAAATCACCACCCGGCCCAGGAAGCGTCGCGGCCAAAACTGGTACTGTTGACTAGTTGAATGCACTCAAGCCACACGCAAGGCGTTTTGGTTAAGATCGCACTAGCAGCTATGCGTTTCGTCACAAGGTGGGACTCGTTCAGGCTAGCGATCTGTAGCCGGAACTTCTGATGGCAACACACCTCACAAGCGCATGAGCGCATGCGAAGCGTCAAGACACTCAGTGACATGCTAAGATTTTATGCGCACAAAAATCATGCATGTCAGAAGTTGGTTGACAAACTCCGCCTCTGCTTGTACAACGTGCTCACGCTGCTTGAGTTCATGTTACGATGCTAGTTCATCAAATGCGGCATCTCGGAGTTGCTAAGTTCGGAACATGAGACCCATGAATTGCTCTGCGAGCTTTCGTGTGGAAGCTCGCATATTGGCGTCGGTACAAGATGAGGAGTGCAACATCGTCGTGAGGCATATCTCCTTCCATGGCATCTGCGATTTGGATCTTGCTGTTTGTTAATCTTGTCCAAGCATTTGAAACACACTCTACCAGCTCTTTAGCGCTGGATTTGATCTGCGAAGGCCACTGCCACCACACTTGCGCTGAGCCTTTGTGCCAATTGTTTGCGCAACTCACTGGACGATCCGAGGTCAAAGTTTGCTTTCCTTTGTGTGTCACATGTTCTGCAGCGTGGACTTGTACTCCTTGGCCTATTGATCAAGCTCTGTTTTCTATAATCGGGCCGGTGGACGCATCTCTTCCAGCTTTGTGTGGCTGCTTACTGAGTATGAAACTCCTAAAGCCGAGCAATCGGGTAACAGTTGTTACTGCACCTGTTGGGCTTGAAATAGCTGGGCCAATAATTAAGTTTAACGCTTGGATGTCGTACACACCATGGTAGGGGGCCTCTCAACCCCAACCTTTAAACGGTTGGGTGTCGAGTGCGGGAACGCCATCGGGGGAGGCGGGGGGAGGGGGGGGAGAAGGGGCAGGGGTGGCAAACGAACGCAAAAACAGACTGTCTCCAAACTTTCGAACTGCAGGATAGAGGGTAGCTGAGGTAATCCCCAAGACCTGGGCCTGTGGCCTCGGTGGATTACTGCACTTTCTGACTTCTGGGAAGCCAGGTAGAGGCCGGGTGGAGGTCTGAGCATGCTTGCGCAACTGACAAACCCAGAAAGTCCTTCGCGCGCTTGTTTGTCTTCTGCAAGGCTTCGGCTTCGTACTGCGTTTGATCTCATGGCGAACCGATAGATAAGCTGCACTGCGTCCAGCTCAAGCCACGGGCACAGAATCGCACCGCTCCAACAGATTGTTCACCGAAGCATTTTGCCCACTTCGGCTCCCTCAGGCTTCCTGTTTGAAGCAAAAAATGCTGCGGTAGTCAGCAAGGTGATTCTCTCGCGGGAGCACCTGGTTCATGACATGTACAGCAATCTCAGATGGGCCCTGCAACTCCACACAAATCAGGGCCAAGTCGGGTTCTCACTACACCAGTACGGCCCAAAGGTTCTATTCACAGCTCGTGGAGGGAAGAAGCCGTTCACCCAGCAGGCTTTGCAGTGACCTTTATATGCAGCGCATTGCGTGGCCCACGGAGGCGACTGGAACCCGGTGCCTCCGGCCACTTGGCGATTGAAATTCTCATATATTCTCTAAAGAGGGCACAGCTGGCGCAGACGGACCCCCACGGCAAGTGCCAGGCACAGCGCACAGACCCCATGATCGTCAACAGCCAGGCCCTAGCGTTGCCTCAAAGGTGTGCCAGCGCAAGACATTGTACGGCATCATTGAGCCAGGCTCATTCTCTGCATCTACTCAAAGAAGCTTCAGACTCGACTGAGATGGTTTGGGTGGAAATGTGCACAACCCTTACGATACAGCGTGGATTTCCTGGAGCACTGACCGTTTGGTGGTGGTGTCAATCGGTACCGAGGTGCAGATGTGCAAATTACACTCTCTCCGAGCGGCTTTCACTTGCTGGTTGGACTACAGGCTGTGAGCATAGTTTTCTTAGAGGATCCTTTTGCACCTCGCTTGTCACATGTATTGATCGAAGTGCTGAACAACTGACACTGCCAGAGGATGTGAAATTGGAAAGGCCTTTGCCAGAAGGCTTCTGTTTGGACGGTCGCTTCATCCAAAAGGTGTGGCCCTTTGCCGAACTCGCTTGTCTTCTTGTTGGCCACAGGCTAGAAGTCGCAGACTGTGAGTATCAAGGAAGGAGCAGCAAGCACTGCCTCAAGCACATCAAGCGAGACAAGCTACATCGTCGCAGTGCGCTTTAGCAGCATTGGCCGGTTGCACTGCGTTGCTGCGCAGTCCCGGGTAGAAGCTGCGGCAAATCCCTCTCTGCAGGTATTCTACTGCAGATAGTTTCAAAAAGGTCAAGCAGCCGGAGGATGCCACTGGCTGCAAAAAGCGCTCGCTCGCCTCCGGGTGTGTGTGTGTGTGTGAGTGTGTGTGTGTGTGCCAAAAGTCTCTGATGTGGCTTGTATTGGTAAGCCTTCCAAGCCAGACGAAATCCAAGCTGAGGTCCTTTTCTGTGGGATTCCTTTCCACTCTTGGTTGCAACAACGTCGTCTGCGAGTTGAACATGTGTGGTCTAATGCCCAGGAGGCTATGGTCATCAAGGAAGTAAGTATAATTACACCCGAAAGACGAAAGACTTCGCGTGCGATCGTGTGTTTGCAACTGTTGCAGGCGGCCAGCTGCACTGAATTATGGACAGCAAAGCTTTTCCCGGCAACGACCTCTGCGGCCTCGCTTGCCGAGCTTCTCCCAGGCCAGATACCAAGGTTCCAATAGACATCCCGCAAGCTGACACTGCAGTCCTCTTGCGGAGCATGGGGCTGTTGCGGTTGGGGCCGTGGGCGGTTGGTCGTCGTCGCCCTTGTCCTCGCCGTCGTCCTCGCCGCCGCGGGCATAGATTGGTCGTCGTGGTGGCAATGGGTAGTATAGTAGTAGTAGTAGTAGTAGTAGTAGTAGTAGTAGTAGTAGTAGTAGTAGTAGTAGTAGTAGTGGTAGTGGTAGTGGTAGTGGTAGTGGTAGTGGTAGTGGTAGCAGTAGTAGTGGTAGTTTTACGTAGTAGTACTAGTAGTAGTACGTAGTAGTAGTAGTAGTAGTAGTAGTAGTAGTAGTAGTAGTAGTAGTAGTAGTAGTAGTAGTAGTAGTAGTGGTAGTGGTGGTAGTGGTAGTGGTAGTGGTAGTGGTAGTGGTCGTAGTACCAGTAATAACACTCAGCAATGATAGTAGTCGTAGGTAGCAGTAGCAGTAACAGTAGCCAGTAGCCGTAGTAGTAGTCGTAGTCGTCGTAGTAGCAGTAGCAGTAGTAGTAGTAGTAGTAGTAGTAGCGAGTTAGTAGCAGTAGTAGTAGTAGTAGTAGTAGTAGTAGTAGTAGTAGTAGTAGTAGTAGTAGTAGTAGTAGTAGTAGTAGTAGTAGTAGAGTAGTAGAGTAGTAGTAGTAGTAGTAGTAGTAGTAGTAGTAGTAGTAGTAGTAGTAGTAGTAGTAGTAGTAGTAGTAGTAGTAGTAGTAGTAGTAGTAGTAGTAGTAGTAGTAGTAGTAGTATCGAGTTACAGGTAGTAGCAGTCGTCATCGTCTTGATTGTCGCCGTTGCCGTTGCTGGTGTTGCTGTTGTTGTTGTTGTCGTCGTCGTGCTCGTAGAAGCAGCAGTCGTATCAGCAGCAGCAACGGAAGCAGAGACAGCAGAAGTCGTCGTCGTACGAGTTAGTAGGGAGGAGGAGGGGTAGTAGTCGTAGTGGGAGTAGTAGGAGTAGTAGTAGTCGTTGTCGTTGTAGTAGTAGCAGTAGCAGTAGAAGATGTAGGAGTGCGAGGGGTAGGATGACTTTTGTCCTCCGCCGGAACGCCGACTCACTAGCTCGCAGGCTGATCATTGACATCAGCTGACGGAGCAAAATTCCCTGAACCGTAAGACGCTATGGAAGGAGTAGAGCGCGGCGCGCAATTATCTTTGCATCTCTTCTGTCTTCTCATTGAAATGGGTCTTGGGAGTTACGGCTTTACGGCTTACATGTCGCCTTCCTGGGTCGAACCACACATCACGGAGTGGGTTAGTGGAGGTGAGGGGTGAGGAAACGGCAAGTGTCTGGATAGACGGCGGTACGGTTGAAAAGGACGGGTGGAAGGCAAGGGGCATCACTGCTCTGTCCAAAGCCGCTTGCGCAGCATCATTTTTGATGACGAATGCACCACAGGCCGCGAAGCTCACGACGCCTTTTCTGCGTATTTGGGCAGCATGTCATGGTGTAAACACGTCAGGCCTTCGTATTGTATCTAGTTATTTAGAGGAAAATATGCATATCAGCGGCAAGACGTAGCTAGACGGAGACTCAGCTCGACGGAGTAAACAAGGGCTCCGCTTCTCAACATTTCTCATTCTCACAGAGATTCTTTCTTCGAGATATTCTGGTTGACTGCCGCAGTCGCAGTCTTGCGTGACATGTAAGCTTGCACCGTCATTCAGACATGAAAGCTCGGGCCACAAGCAAGCATCACAGAGCTCATCGTACTGAGTTGCTGACAACAAGAGATGGGAAATCATGCACGTGACAACCAAATTCAAGCAGACGAACAATCGTAGATTCGTAGATACCGTGTGGTGCGCGGTGACGGGAACACACAAGCATAATCAAGACGTGTCGCGGGAGCACACCCTGTCTCACATGATAGTCGTGGATTGTCCTGGCCATCAATTGAAGGAAAGGCATGTAATCTGCTGAGAACACGAAAGTCTTCCCAGTCTGTTGCCGTTGCCAAACCTGATTGCAGATATTCTGTCCCGTCAACGGCTGCATAACGTACACGGAGCTGGTCATTACTGCTATTGCACGCACACAGGTTATAACACTGTGAAACTCGCAGTTTTGACCAACTGGTGCATTGCACCAAGACCTCCCGGCGCGGTCTTCAAGCAGTCTAGCTGTGCCACCAGCTGAGCCATGCTCTGCTGTCGACAAAGCGGGCCCCACTGCAGTGCAGTGGCAAGTTGGCAAGCACAGTGAATGTCGCAAGGTAGCCACAGGAGGTTGCCACGCAGAAGTGAATGTTTAGGGTTTTCTCCGCCGGAGAAGCAAGCTAGACAGCCTAGAACCTCGTAATTCCAAGCAGCAGAGCGAGCTGCAATGCGCCTTTCCAAACTAGCTGCATGGGGCTGTGAAGACCGGCGGGCACGACTGTGTGTCGATCGACGCTGTGCATGCTCGCCGCCAGCAAGTGTCGATGCAGAGCACTAGTGCACACGTTCGCTGGCAGCTCCCCATTGGCTGCGCCGACTGTGCAAGCACATTCACACGAGATTGATTCCGCTGGCACTTCCTGCAAGGATACTGGGACGCATCATGCTTTCGATTCTCGGCGACATGTTAATGTAAGCTGCTGTTTGAGATTCATTAAGTATGAAAGGGAGAAAGGGCCACCGACGGACGCAGTCAAGTTCTTCAGCTTTCTGAAGTCTAAATCTGTCGCCGAGAGCCTTCGAGTTCTCGACGAAGCTGCTGTAGTTCTCCCAAGGCTCTGATGACTTCATCGCCCAGGTTCGTTTCAGCTTGGAAGACCTCAACAGGCTGGGACAACTCGCGGGGCCGCGTAGGGGGGAGAGAGAGAGAGGGAGTGTGAGTGTCTGTGTGTGTGTGTGTGTCTTTGCTCGTGTGTGTGTGAGAGACAGAAAAAGAGGGAGAGAGTTGTCGGGACCTCCCTCCGGTACTTGTTACTGCATCAAATGACACTGCGCTGTGTGCTGAGGGGTGAGAAAGGAGGAGGATCCCACAGCAGCCCATCCCCACAACATCTATACTTGTCCTATGTTCCTGCATCGCATGGTCCTTAGAGCGTGGTGCGTATTGAGAAGGGGGAGGCTGCAAACACATGTAGATAAGTGGGGGAAGAAATTGCCTGGTGAGGGACTAAGGAACTTGCCATAGAGGGCGCGGTGACGAGGCCGGGATGCGGGCTAGTGTTCAGGGTTTGGGGGGGTCTCCACCAGGCAATCTCCACAACCCACACAATCCACGGGGGAAACTCTCCGGCTACAATGACCCCAATGCCCCTCTTCCACAATCGTGTGAAGAAAGGGGGGGCCTCGGCCCGGGTCCAGTGGACCTGACCCCTGAAGCGAGCGAGCGAGCGAGTTGTCTGCGGTTCAGCGTAAAGGGTGGGGCTCGCTACACGACAACCCGGGGCACATTCAGTAGTTCTATGCCGCGCTCTGGAACGACCCCAATGCCAACCACTCACTAAAACAGTGGAGGGGTTTTATGGCCTGAAGGTCTTGACGACCCCTAAGCCCAGCAGAAAGAAAGAAAGATGCAGACAACTGGATGAAGGAGTACATGTGTATGTAAACACATAGTCTGGATATATTTGATATACTGTGTACATACATTTACATTGCATGTGAAGATTTACCTGTATACATGTAAATGTGTATATTATGCAAAGAAACTTGCCTGAATGCTCACCTCGATCCCCCGGGCGACAGGTCATCACGGGGAAGATATAAGCGTGATTGGAGTGGGTTAAGCATCCTGAGAAGTCTTATGCGGACATGTGAGGTGTTAAATACTATTTGCCGAAATCACCTGCACAAACGGCCAAAAACCGGCATGCGCATGGATCAGTCTATCGTTGTACTGTATTAGCAGCTCGCAGTCTATTCTCCATGTTTATCGCACTGATGATTATGCAACTTGTCGGTGTACACTTATGCTGTGAGTTAGTATTACATTGGTTTTGTGGATTTCTTCCTATCTTCTTCATTCTTTCACAGTTCGTTTCCCCTTTATCTTGGAGTTACCTCTGCCATGATTGACGTTACAGCAACATCCTACAGTCTTGTAAATCGCATTTCACTTTCACCTTCGTTACTTGTGTGGACACCAACCATGTGTTTGAACAAGGTTTGTTCTTAATGGTTTAAAAGCATGATAAGTATAGCGGAGATTATAGTTATTCAGTTATTACTTTGATGACAAAGTGAGAATCGTTCTATACGGATGAAATCTGGTTACATACATATGTAAGGTAGTTCGTAGTCTCAAATGACCGTTGATGACTTTCATCCATTAATCGTGTGTGAAGCTCAAGAAAAGTATCGTTCATGCAACTAATTCAAGCGGTCAGTGCTCCACGGATTGGGGTATTAGGGATCTTGTGGCAGTCTCTTAGTGGTCTCCACGAGGTATCCTTTTGCTAGTGATGGTCTCCTGGTTCTCGTGGTTGACGCGGCCATCATCGTCGTCTTGCTCGTCGGGGTGCGTGTTCACCGTGTGGGGTAGATCAGATCTTCGATTGCTTCGTAAAGACGGCACAAGACCCAGACCTAAATGATACACAAGTTTACGATGAACCACATTCAGAATCGCAGTGCACAAACAGTTAGCATAAACGCAAGAACTAGTAAATTGACTTTGACCATTCGCCGAAATGAGAATACAAAACACTATCCCGCCAAGCAAGCTTCACATGTTGGGAACGGTCCAAACAGTGACGTGTCGTGACTTAGCACAGGGAAACTTTATGTTGAAGAGCGTCACCTCGTTGAAGGGGGTGCTACGTTGATCGAACGTGAGTTGAGTCGCTATGAGTTGCCATGGTTTAAAGTAGTATACCACGCGTATGTATGAATATGCATGGAGGCTGTTTACAGGAATCAAGGCCTTGACGTTTTGGTGCGAGGTGCCATGCAATGTAACGCTCTGGGTTCCAGGTGCGTCGAGGAACGAGGAATTGCAGTCAGATACATGATGTAACTCTGTGTTGCCCGTCCTGGAGGCTCGATTCTGCGCTGGATCGGGATATCAGAAGACATCGTCTCATATCCTGAACTCGGTCGCAACATCCAGAAGTTGCTAACGACGGCCAGCCACAGGCCGAAGCCCGCGACGTGATCGCTTGTTTGGGCATAGCAGTGGCAGCCGAGACTAAGATGCTAAAGAAATGAGGAATCACTGGTGCATTTTGAGTGCTGCTTCTCACAGTGCTGTGTCGGATGATCCGCCTCTTGCTCGCACACCCAGGAAAGCTGCTGGTTTGGTGCAGTCAACAAGCATCTTACGCTACCACATCGCACTGCATTTTCGTAGTCGCAAGCCCGTCGAAAGACAGACCCCAAATCTTCGAAGGATATTCGTAGTCAAGCTCGTCCTCGAACCTCTGGCTGATAGCTCAAGCAGAATGCTAGTTTCAGGTTAGCAGTGCAGATTGCCATGGGCCTGCCTGATGCTGTGCAGGAAGGCCTCCATTTCAGCACGTGCTAACTTTTGCAGCAGGCTCTCGGGCAGAAACACGAAGAACATGCAAGGCCAGGCCCGACAAGGAAACGGTCACAGCACGAGGGAGGCACCGCCGGATCGACTCAAGTTGCTCAAAGGAGCAGACGCCACCTCAGTCATCGCTGCAAATGCTGCATTTGCTTCGATGTTGGCATGGTTACGGAATCTCATGGCATGGTTGGCTGCTTGTCTTACTTTGAGGCTGGGATCTACTTTTTCTTCATTTGGTATGGGAGGCTTCCGAGCAGATCTTGGTAGGGCTCCGAAACCGCTCCAAGCTTGTGCAACATTCTTCTGTGGCCACATCAAGCACACTTCAATGTAGTGTTTTGAAACCAGCAAGGCTTTTGAGTATGTATGTTCAATGTTCCGTGTGATTCGTGGGTAGCTCGCGTTTGCAATGCTTGCCTCCATGACCGTCTCAAAGTTCTGCCGGTGCTTGTACATGCAGATGCATGACAAAATCTGCGAGGCTTCAAGAAAGGATCTTTAAGTTCAAGTCTTCAACCGGACAGAGGCACCTTGGAAGAATCGGCAGTCAGCTGTCAAGACAAGCGAAAGTGTATCGGCTGCTCAGCAGAAGATGGCTAAACAAATTCGTTGTTGGCTAAGGTTCACTGCAGTGTGGTTTCTGCAGTTGGTGGATACGTTGATGAACGTGGCGGTAGGTGGCTGCATCATGCATTGTTAGTGGCCGCGGACTTGTGTAGAGCTTGGGCATGCTCAGTGTTTCACTCCAACCTTTCGTTCAAGAGCATATAGGTTCAAAACCTTTGTGCGAAACGAAGCAGGTCATCAGTTCGGTGACCATAGCCAGCATGGCTAGGTTCCTCATTTTCCTAGCATGGCTGCCGGTGCTCTCAAACAGCGCCAAAACCCACATCACGGTGCGAACCGTGAAGGAAGAGCTGAAGGTCGAAAATGTTGAGCACCCGAAGGATGGCGTGATCGTACGCATCATTGATCCCCCTCAGAACAAGGCGGCTCCGCACGAGTCTGAGCCTGAACATGAAGCCGAGGAGTCGGCCAGCGCCGTCAAAGAGCATGAAGATCATGGTAGTGATGGGCATGACAGCCACGACGCTGAGACAGAGCCGGGTCATGCAGTTGAAAGCAAGAGTGCCGCAGACCATGGTCATGGCCAGGAACACGGCCAGGAGCATGCACACAAGGATGAAGATCATGCTCATCATGATGAAGACGGCGAAGATTCTCATGGTCACAAAGGAGCTCATGACGGGCATGCAGAACACGAGGAGCCTGCCCACCAGACTGAGGCGGCACATGCAGAGCACGGCCATGCTGAGCATTCCGATGAGCCTGGCCATGGACACGCAGGGCATGGGGGACACTCCGAACATGGTGGACATGGCCATGCAGAAGAGGGTCATGCACACGAAGGGCATGGCCACCATGCTCCCGATGACAAGACGCTGACAGCCTCCTACATGCTCATTGGCGGTGTTACACTTGTCATGGCTATGTTCTATCTCGTCCAACATCCCGACCTTGACATCAGATACTACAGCTGGAACATTCTCACTCTCTCTGCTTGCATCTTCATTGCCGTGCTTGCTTCTGATGTCGTCAACCAGGTAGCAAAGCGGTTCTTGTTTTCTCACATACCCATGGGTGCCTGGGGCAATGCCGGACTCTGCTTTGGCTTGGCCGTCATGTGGTTCCTTTGCTCACAACTTGTGACTGCCGCCTTGAGCGGTGCCTTTGGTGAGGAGGCGAAGGAGCCGAAGGATGCTTCAAGCGAAGAAGAGCGCCGCCAGCTGGAGGAACTGTGGGAGCAACGGGAGATTGCCATGAAATGCTGGGGCGGTTTGGTGGCGCATTGTGCTGGCTTCGCCATCGTGGCGACCTTAGCCTCTTTGCAGGACTCTGAACCCTTCGCCAGCTCACCTTTGATGTCCTTGCTGGTGGTTCCAGGTGCTCTGGTGCTGGTCACACTTTTGTACCGCCTAGCGGCACTCGCCAGAAAGAAGATCAGTGAAATGGACGATGGAGTTGTCAGCCGCGGGGAGGCACTCTGGGATGAAATTTCGGAGGAAGCCGAGAACGAGTCACTGTGCCTGGGGCTGTCCTTCGCTTCCATCCGCAGCATCAGTTTCTTTGCCATTGGAGCGATGCCCGACACTCACTTCCATATCTACGCCGATGTCCCATCGGAAGATTGGCACCGTGGCTGGATGGTTCTGTTCGCAGTTTCGATCGGCTCCATGATCTTGGGCATTGCAACCTTCAAGTTGAAGGAGAAGCTGTTCGGCGGACATGGCCATGATCACGGTCATGAGAGCCATGAGCACGGCTCCCCACACGAGTGCGACGAAGCACAGAATGAGTCAGACGAAGATGATATTCGCCTGCGAGCACTGCTGCTCCTTACCGAGACATTCATTATGACACTTGGAGCATTGTGATGACCTGTGATAACAACTGAGTGCTACTGCCCAGGCATGTTTTATTGGTGGGCTTCAAGCGAATAATCCCGATTGGTAAACCCGGCATTTGGGGCGTAATGCGCCCTAAGAGGAGTTTTGAAAGGCGAAGAGGACAATGCATTCAGGGGTTATAATAATGGAGGCGCTAGGAATCCTTCCAGGGTGGTTGGGACTTATGACTTATAAGTGTATCGAAGCTCTCTCTCTCTCTCTCTCTCTCTGAGTTTATGTTTAAGGATCCTCCCATCATCCGAAACCTTACGATTGCAAGAGCGAGTGTGCGACGCGTGAGTTGTGCTGCTGTCCCTTTCAAAGTTTAAGTTTAGGGATCCTCCCCGCATCCGAAACCTTGCGATTACACGAGCGAGTGTGTACTAGAACGCATGAGTGAGTGAGTGAGTGAGTGTCGACCTGGGGTGCTCTCCGGCCCACGGAAACTTCTTTGCCCCTCCGCATACGTCATCGGGGCTCCGGTGCAGAGTTCAACGCTCCGGGCCCCTCGATCCGAGCCGGGGATTAGGGGAGGGATGTGCCACCCGAACCTCCATGGGCCCGCCCCCCAGCCGGGCGGCATGGGTTGGAGTTGGACACGTGGCAAGATAGCCCACATTGCAGGAACAAAGCTCTTCCCTCAATTATCCCTCACCGAAGTACTAAGCCTGGGGCACTGGCTCGGAGAGGCGGGGCATTCGGGGGAGGGGTGGTCGAGCAAACACGCACACACGCACAGCACCGACAGCGAGACTAAGGGCAAAAGCGCATTCAGCTTATGCCCTTGTGGCAAACTCGAACAGTGTCCCCTTGCCTTGTGGGACGATGCCTGATGCTGAGGGCATCACCCCTCGACCAAACGGGAATGTATGAGCTGAGTTGACAGCAAGAACTGCAGCCAGCAGGGGCCGCAGGAGCGCAGGACTGCAGGTTGCAGCAACCGCAGCCAGGACAGCAGGGTCAGGGTCTGCGGCCTGCCCAAGGAAGCATTTAACATAAAGTGCTGAGCAATGGACAGATGATTGAATTGATCCCCCAATACCGTTTCAAATTAGGGTGGTGGGGGCAGGGGGGAGGGGGGGTTACTAAGCGGGGGAATAGATTACTTGTGCTGCTACCACGCCTAAGGATGTTTTCGTGGGGCATGCTCTCGTGTGCCATTGCCATGATGAATGCTTTCATGCCAGAGCTTGAGCACCATCTGATCGGCCACCTGATTGTGGCGCTCGTCGTCTCTGCCTTGTCATGTTTGATGTTACTGGGCCTGGACAAAGTGGCAGACGCAATGAAAGGTGGCAGTGGCTCGGAATCCACGCTGCACATCATTAACCACATCATCCTTGCCCATGGCTTGCTCATCGGCATCAGCTGGGAGGTGTGCTTTGCCCTGGGCATGCATGCCATTAGCCACGTCATGGATGGCCCCAACGTTGACATTTACTTGGCAGTCTTCCTGTGCCTCGTGGTCGTACCGGCATACCGCTTATTCATGCTGCCAGAGCTGAGAACACGAGAGGCAAAGATCAAGAGCCACTGAGAGGGCACGGGGTCGAGAAGCCTTATGCAGGCCGGTGAAAAGAGTGAAGTCCGCTTCTTGGAGTCCGCTTTTCTCAGTGACACGCGAGTTGAAGCGGGAGGGGGGAGCTCCGAGCCTGCTTTGCCAGGCTACGCCGGGCGGTGCATCCAGGGAAGCACGCTTGGCTTACCTCAGGTGATGCCTTGGATGTCTTGCGGTACACTCTGTCAGCGAAACAGACGTCGGACCATGCTGTGAAGGCGCTGCTAGTCGCTTCAGGGGTCGGCCAAGTACTTTCGATCCCAGGCAGAAGGATTGATTTTGTGGGAGAAAGATGCAGATCCAGCCCACAAACGGCGGACATGTCGGGCAGCTCCCGGATCTATCCATCTCAGGAAATACTGCACAAGTGCTGCTCTTGCCGCCGGCCTGTCCTTTCCTGTAGCCACCCTGGCCAAGTCTGCAAAGATGCTTCCGGTTATGTGCCTGGACTCCAATGCTCACACTTCACATGACTTGCGAAGCTGCTTCCTTACTCTACTTTTCTGTTGCTCCTGAGGATCGGATCCCTTCTTTTGGGACAAGCCAAGTTCACGCTTCGCCAATACCTGCAAGCTGTAGCCATCGTTGCCGGGACAAGTCGCCTGTCGTTCCATGTGGGCAATGAATTGATATCGAGCTCGGATGAATCAGTGCGTCACATTGCTTCAGAAATTCCTGTCCTAGGTATCGTTTCGCTCTCGGAAGGACGAAGTAAGGCGGGTCGGGAGAGCAATCTTAGATTTAGCTTGATGCCGGTTCACAGGCTGTTGCATGTGCCACATATCCAATGCCCATACCCTTGCGATCCCTTGCAGAAAGTCGGCGGCAGCACCACGATCGGGCTGCTCTTCGTCATGGGCGCTTTGTGCTTCGATGGCTCCTTGGAACAAGATGCATATTCGTGTGACATCGCTGCGATGCCATCTGAGAGCAGCATGAGGAGTGGTTAGCGGCGTTCAGCAAAGACTGAAGGTGCCGCCTGCATCCATTGCTGCGCGTGCGAAGATGCAAGCACTCCAAGTACATGCAACAAAGGTTCAGTGCCGGAAGGAATACAAAGAGGCGCCGTTCCAACAAGTCCTATGCTGAGACATCATCTCCTGAGCAGGTCCGTCCGTACGCGGCGGCCTTAGTTGGCGGCACATGCTTTGGCCAGATCGAGTGCAACACCACCCAGTAGTACTTGCTGTTACAGGCAGCAGCACAAAGCAGCAGCAGTACATGTTCCATGCATCATGGCACTGCAAGGACTTAATGTTTTGGACAAACCTTTACATGGCCACTTGTCTGAACTTCTGTGCATTTTCCGCTGCCACTTCTAGTAACTACAATGTAGTAAGAGGCATCTTACACAGCACTGCTTATCTGAAAAGACGAGGCAATCACGTCTAGCCTCTTCGCAGTTCGTTCAGAGCTTCGCGAGGCGGAAAGACTCCGGCACGCTTTGTAGGATGTTCTGCACGGCTTGCGGTACCGCGCCGTCTTGAAGCATCCGTCTCGTATGCAGGGTCTGACATTCTGCTTCGCGAATCCGAACTTTGCTCGGCAAGTTGTTCAATTCTCCATATGTGGGGCCTTGGGCCAGGCACGCTGCGAGTGTCGCGCGCACTTGATGCGTGTTTCCAGCTCGGTTCAGGCTAGCGTCTTCTACACAATCGCAAACTTCGACAGCTGCTTGGAATGATTTGGCTTTGGTGGGCAGTAGCGTGTGATGCCTTGCTGTCAGGTGTGGTTTGCGCAGCGGTGACAACAACCCGCAAGTTGCTGTCGGTGCTGATTTCTGTGTTGGAAGGCTTCGCCGAGGCGGTGAGAGTTTGCCGTGGCACTGGACTGTACACAGGTGGCGGCTTGCCGGTGATGGGTTGGCTTGGCATCGGCGTGTCCTCGCTTGGCATTGCAGGCCCCAAGGGCAGCACGTGCAGCACCCGTTGCCTCTGCTGCGTGAGCTAATGTGCATGCCGGAGGGTAGCGAAGTCTAGGCGGAGGTGGGCTTGGCTCCTTCAGAGGTGACGGCCACACGCAGGTGATGAAGAGTCGAAAGATGGAACGATCACTTGGACCGCAATGACTTCATGTTAATACGTTGATCATGTAAACCACACCTCGGAAAGCCCATAATGACACGATCGCCAAACACGACGCAATTATCCGGCAGCACTTGCATACAATGATAAGCTGTTAGAAAGTCAACCAATATCGACAAATCAACAGAAGCAGAAGCAAGGCTAATAGATGTTCAAGCGAAGTTCAGAGTTCAGAGTCCTGTCTACGACTCTTTCCGAGAATCCAGTACGTCTGAGAGGTGAACTTGACCGTCACCAACGCCCTGGAGGCTGCATGTGCATTGTAGCATAGTTCGAGCTACCGACCTGCTCCGTGCAGAGTTGAGGGCAGGAGTGGTGGATAGTGGTGGCCTGGGGGTCCTGACTGTCCTTTCAGTGCCGTAGGTGGTCGAGCAGGGCCAGGGGACGATGGAAGAGCCCGGCATGGAGTGCACAGCAGCTGCAAGAAGTGGATCGGTTCAAATTTGCAAAAACGGAGAATTTCCTCCCTTTGCTTCAACGCTGGCAGCAACGTTCCTCTTGTTTTTTGTCTGCGGCAGCAGCCACCCGTTGATGTCTGGAAATCTTTCGGAACCATCGAGAGCTGCCATCTTAGTGTTCATCCCTCGTCTTCCCGTCTGTGATCGGTCTGAGCCTGCCAGGCAACGTAAAACGAGAAGTGTGTCGAAAGATGTCCCTTGAGCTGCTTTGGTTCCGGCGGCTATGCCGCATCTCGAGACAGGCCCGATCAAATATTGAACACTTGATTTCCCACGTTTTGTTGATGACCAAGATGAAGAAGTGTGTGATACATTGCGAAAACTATCATGCAAGAGAGCAGTCACTGCGAACACACTGCGGGTGACGCTACTCAGGAAAGGGCTTCAAGGAGCACCCGACGAGCATCACCGAGCATGAAAGCGTTGCATGGATCAGGTGGAAACAAGCATGAAGAGTTTGCAATTGCATCATGGCAGAAGTCGCAAGAGGCAGCTTCAACATCTCTCCAACCAGCAGCTTGATGTCCTGGGATTTGCCGAGACTGCTCCGAAGTCTCCTGCGGCATCCTGCAGCCACGCAGCAACACTCATCGCAGTGACAGAGTAGCATTAAGGAAGTTCGCAGCAAAGAAGGGAGGAGCCTGAATTCTGAAAGCAGCTGCATGTAGCAGATGTGGATGCTCCCGAAAGCGCCATGTTTCATGCCCTCTGCAGGAGCCAAACCTGAGTGCTGTTTTGGGGTCTTGCTTCCCATGGAAAAGCCTTCGCTTTGACTTGCAGGAAGGCCGGCGCCGGAGCCGGAGGATGGGACCCTCTGGCTGCTACAGCAGGCCCGGGCCCGGAGGCTGCATACGTCGTTGGCTGCAGGTTTGGGAGGCTTGCTCCGGGCAGCGGACGACGAGAAGGCGCTTTTTTTAATTGCAGGCGAACAATGCTAAGTGAACCGGGTGACTGCGACGAAAGCAGACTTAGGCACAGGAAAGCCTCGACGGCGAGAAAGCGAAGCTGCCACCTCCAAAGCCGAAGACTGAGTTTTTGGGGCTCGTGCTTCCTGTGTCTCTGACAAAGTCCTTAGCGATTCAGCAGTCCTCTAGACTCTAGCAGCCTAACGTTAGGCCGAGCTCTGGCTGGATCAATGATGTGGTTGCACGGGCCACACAACATGAGGCGTTGAGTCCAGATTTGGTACTTGTATGGATGTCCGTTGCAGCACTCACCCTGCAGCCTCCTGCCACTGACAGAACGGTGCTTCCGATTCGCTGTTGCAGCTGCTGCGGCCGCGGCTGCAGAGGACACGGGAAACCATCATCCTTTTGCAGCTACTATTCACAAAGTAGTGCTATCAACTCCTACAAACACTTGGAAGCACCACAGCTGCAACTATCCGAAGAGGCCAAGGCCGACACTCCACAAGCTGCTGCCAAATCCTAGCCGCCCCAAGCGCGATGAAAGCAAGTCCGACCCTGAAGCACGGATCATATCGGTTTCACAGACCAGCAACCGGGATGCTGTGCACCTTTGGTTGAATGAGGCCTGTAGAGCCGCCCGAGACGCGTAGGTGTAGGTGGGGGATGGGGGGTGAATTTGTGCCTGTGAACTGTGCCTCGCATGTGCCTTACCAACTGTTTGCCAGGTTTTGTTTTCTCTTGCTGTGCCTGTTTGCATGGATGGGTTTGTTCGTAACGGCGAAGGGGGCACACATGTGCCTCAAGACGGCAGGAGCTTCGCACCCGCATATTCTCCGTAACGGGAACACGTCGACCGCAACAGAAACTTGTAACAAGAACAGGCCCCTGGATCGTAACGCAAACCCTGTGGTTGCCGTAACACCCCGGGGGGCAGCCCCTTTTTACAGGAACCTGGGCCTCTCTGGCTTCGAAGGGTTAGGGCTTATGATGCAGGGTTGAGGGTTTAGGGCAGGGCTTTTCGGGTTTAGGGTTCAAAAAGTTTAGGGGCAGCCTACTGTTTTGCTCTAACGCCTGTAAAACGAAGATTCAAGAGGGCAGGATTTGGGGCAGGCCCGTGAAGGAAAGGCTTGAGTTTCGCCCCTTCTCTGTGAGTGGAAGGTGCCCGGGTTGTCTTCGAAACATGGGAACAAATACATAGACAGCATTTGAGAAGAAACTCCTTTGGTGCACGCAGGGGACCCTGGATTGCCAGGCTCAGCCTGGATGATTTATCGTGCCCTTACGCTGAATTTCTTGTTCTCCTTCTGAGCGGGAGGCAAGGGGCCGGAACCAAGCAAATGAAAATAAGACATCCAGGGGCTGAACTTCTTGTTTTCCTTTTGAGCGGTCCGGACGGGCAATGGAACTGGAACAACGACTGTGCTCACTGGCCTGTGGTTTCGGAGCCGTATTTAAAGAAACTCGTTTTTTGGGGTTTCGGGGGCAGGACACCCGCAATTTCTCATTCTCCTTTTGTGTGTGGTTCTTCCGGGTTCTAGCACATGTTCGTCCAAACGGAGCCCCCGGGTGGCTCAATGTTGGTTTGGACACTGACGGGCACTATATGAGCGAAGGCGGGGAGAGGGGGGAGTATTGGAACGGGTAGGAGAACATGGGATCCTTGTGGCAAAACCTCAGACCGCTTCTTTAGGCCAAGAGGGCCGGACGCACCTGACGAAGTTTGGCTTCACAGCTTCATGTGACAATCGTGGCTGGGATGCTTGCAAGCGTAGTTTTCAGCAACCAATTAATCCACGGCTGCGTGTGCGAAACCTCCTGTGGGTTCACCTTCCGAGCTTACGACGCGTTAAGGCCCCGAAGACTGGAATTTGCGATATTAGTTGAAATACAAGCTGCTCTGAGCATGTTGTTTGCTGCAGGCAGCTGCTGGACAGCAGCTTACCCGGTTTCAACTACGCACCGATCGTGGAGGCTGGAAGCTCCCAACGGTCGAAGAGGCGCGGACGGCACATCACCGCAGGCCGTGAACTCCGAAAACCTGCAGAAGGAGCTCGAAGAGGACCTGCGAGGGTCGAGAGTCGCAGTTGCCGAGTTGCTCCTCCGGGACAGGTGGCGGTCATCTTCTGGAAGACCGCTTCCAAGAAGGGCCCTTGCCTCTGTCAACCACAGGGTAAGCAGACTTCAACTCCTTTCTATTCATTGCGTCATATTTAGGATTATTCAGGTATAGGTTTGCGCAGCATGGGAAAATTCGGGGCCTAGCTGGGACAACTTTCCAGTGGAGCTATCGTCGGCGCGCTTTATCCAACGTCGACCACTTGCCTGACCAATGTTCGTGTGTCCACTTCGCAGGCGTCGTAAAGAAGCAGCAGTCTTTGTGCAGAGCCTTTGAAAACGGACGCTGAGCAGTCGCTCTTCTTTTATCAGCATAGTGCAGGGGCTTCAAAGTTTGTTTGCGATGGAAAGCACGGGTGTGCTGTTGCACGCAGCCGGAGGGCACTCAGCGACTCGGGGTCAGAGCGGGCTTTGTGAGCTCCTCACAACTTCCCATGCATGTGTAGCCATGATGCGTGGTGTGTAGGGGCGTTGGAAGGTTGGCCCCGCCTTCGCCACCGTTTTACTGTCGGCCCAATGCTTTCCCCTCACCACCCATGCGCCCTGAAAGTTCTCGGGCCTCCAGAAAGGAGACATAGAAAAGACTGCTTGCCTTGAGGCACGGACGCGCAGGAGGCCCTCAGCCGCTTCCGGCAGCAGGCGTGGCTGAAGCGGCTGAAGGTAGGCCTCGCGCCTCCGTGCAGCCGTTGGGAGTGGCAGGTCGAGAAGATCGTGGAGCTGAAGTGCCAGGCGGTACTTCTCAAGGCGAATCCTGCAAAGTTGCCTTGCAAGGAGATCGCCGCATGCGCCATGGCAGGATGAAAGCGAAGCTAGCTGGCGCCGTCGCTTCATCATAGAAACACTGCAAGCCCATCGCATACTGGAGAATAGAGAGTCCTTGCTGCACTTGATGTGGTTTTGCCGTGATTCCGGACATCCGGCCCAGTCGATCGCCATGACCGCAAGGAAAGCTTGGAGTCGAAGCTCGAGAGGCCAAGACGTGCTTTGTTCCGATTCTTGACGCGGCACAAGAGTCCGTCGTTGTGTCAGGCATCAAGACTTTTGGCCGAAGCAGCTTGGTAGAATATGTAGAATCTGAGCTGCATCAAGCCGCTGCACACAGACGTTGAAGCCAGGTTAACACAGGTTGCCAAGAAGTGTGAAGCTAGAGCGGGATGTGGCCACAGTGAGTAGCGGCACCGTTGGCTCAGATTGGAAGCTGACAGTGTCAGTTTGCCTGTCTTTGTGTGCCTCTAAAGGCAACCAGTACCGACTTGAACAATCGCGATTGCAACTCTAGTATGTACTTGTATAGTGTGGAGTGGTTTGCACGGTCTCGTTTAGGGCCACTATTGTACCTGGTATCTGAAGGCTCTGCGACTGAAAAGCTGCAGTTACTTCGTCGTGGTCCCCCTCCAGTAGTCTGCATCCAAAGGGGCATTGACGTCGGCCGTGGGACCCAGGCGCTTAGGAATTGATGAGGTTACAAGTGTGTATTCAAGTGTAACGAAATCTGAAAGCAGAGCAGGAAGCAGAACCGACTATCGCTCCATGCGACGACACGAGGAGATTTGGACGGCCCCGGAACGGTGGGTGAATGGTGTGTCCGGTGGGGCGGTGTGGTACTTGTAACAGCGGAGGCTGCATGCAGAATGCAACCTTGGAGAGGGGTGGCGAGGGGAGAGAAACACAGACCATGACGTGCAGAATTGGATACGTCGTCCTACTCTTAACGGAATCGCGGCGTGCCAACATGAATCTGGGTAGAGGCGGACTTGAACCCTCGTCCGTAGACAGGCAAGACAGAACCGTGGAGCAAGAAACACTGGGAAGGGCCCCGTCACGCCGAATCCTCATAGTCCTGACGGCAGCCTGTTTCGCGTCGTCGTTCCTCGAATGCCGGGGGACTTGCCTCCCACAGAAAGAAGAAGAGGGCACAGGCTGTGCGCAAGCAAGCAAGAAGATTGTGTTAAGGCATGTTTTCAGACATTGCGAGGTATCATCAAGTCTGCCGGCATTCGGAGGAACTGGCAGAGCTGGTGCCCTCTGCGGTGATTGAGGCGGCTGCAGCGCATTGGGATGCATTGGGACAAATTAGGGACGTTAGAGTTGCTTGGGTTGCTACAGAAAGAGGCGGTGGTCCCTAGGCCTCAGAGCGTTCAGTGCTTCCACAGGCAGAGTTGGCTGCAGAGAAGGATTCGCCAGAAGCTTCGTTTGAGCTTGCAGGAAGAAGAATCGGTTTCAAAGTCAGAGAGACAGTTCGCTGATGCCGACGCAGTTGCAGCCTTGACGGACCGTCATTGGTCACCTAGGCCTTCGCGATGCGCAGGTCGACTGCAGCAGTTGGACGGCGGCTCAGACGAGCAAACTCGTGAGACTGTGCGACCTGGCTGCTGGAGTGCAGGGATTGCAGGGTCCGGCAGACTGGAAGACACGCGCAGCCAGGACCTGCCCGGTTCACGATTGTTCCACGGATACATCATGTGTATTCAGTCTTCATGTATGACGCATGGGGTGGACGGGGAAAGCCTATGTGGAATCGCGAAGGTCAGGCCCAGCAGCATGCAGATGTCTTCAGAATGCAGAATCATGGTTTCACTCCATGGCTGCCGTGGTGCTCGCAAGCCAACTCATACTACCTGGAAGGCGATTGGCACTTCGGATGCTTACCGCATGTGAATCAGAGCCTCTTTTGCTGTGGAGATGAACTGGTGGAGCTCAGGGAGCACGTGGAAAGAGTTCTCGCGTATCGCAAGAGGGCGTTGAACGACGCTGCAGATCAAATGGATGAACTAACTTCACCGCAACCAAAGGCACCCCTCGTTTTCGAAACAGATGCCGGCGAGGCCTTAAAGTACTTGAGATATGCATTCGACGAGGCACGGGTACTCGCAATAGGTGGATTAGAGATTTTGAGGTTTGGTCTTCAAGATATTTCCTGCCAGCTCTGCTGGGCATCGGAGGCCTCGCGATCTGACCAGATTTCCCGGGTTTTCAGGCGTGATTTGGAAGCTGTGATGAAGCGCATGGGACAACTGCGAATGGGCATGCCTGCTTGGACGCCAGGCATGCCCAGTTTTTGGAAGAGTGCTATTAGCACCACTTTCGCAGTGGACGTTTCAGTACGTCCCGGTGGTTTTTTCGCACTGCAACAATGGGCGGAGTCGATCGCAATGGCTTTAACCGCAACAGCTGGTGAGTTCCAGGCTTTAACGTTTGTCTTGCAGCATCACGGAGACAGACTGCCAGTTCCTGAAGTCGAGCAGTCGGTAGCTGCACGCATTCGCGACATCCCTGTGCCACGCCCGGTGGAGACTCCTCGTGCTGCAGTCCTTGTTCATGGGTGCAGCTCGTTATCGTTTCCCAAGCTCGACATCGTCACAGTTGGTAAAGACGACTGCACGAGTATTTGGCGCAAGTTTGATTATGGCTTTGAGCCAACCTCAGTTATGTTGCCAGCATCTTCAATCCGGCTATTTGCGCACACAATTCCATCACCGATGCAGCTGCAACGTGTCTCGGGCCTTCTCGCAAACGCAGGCACGACACGGACGGCACTTCCTGATGGATTATCACTCGCTCCTGTCATGCCCAACTTCAATGCGAGCTTGCTGGAGTCATCTAAAACTAGCAATAGCAGCAGCAAGGTGCTGGTCTTTGTTTGTCTGCACACGACTTTCTGCGGTGGACACGGAGATCGTTTGTTCGGACTGCTGTCCGCCTTCTTAGCCGCTACGCTGTCGAAGCGAATGTTTTACATTGATATGCGTGCACCAATACCATTGGGCAGCGTGCTGTCTCCTAAACAATCGTGGCCTGCCGTCACATCGTCCTGCAAGACTTACCGGTGGACGTCGGCAGAGGATCCAAGAGCTTTCGAGCAAGATGTGTCCCGCTTCTTCCAGGATGACTCTGAAGCACTTTGCATAGTTTCAAACGTCAGACTTTTTCGTGTTCTGTTGCTACATGACAGTTCCAAAGAGTTTGCCCGCTCAGGGCTTCTGTCGGGTTTGTTTCTTCACTTGTTTGACTTGGCAGCAGCACCCGGTGCGATCGTCAAGGACTTCATCCGCAGGCTGGGCAGCCGGCCGCTCATTGGAATACATTTCCGTGCCGGGAACGAGACCACATGGTCAGATCCTGCAAGGCATTCCCTTTCGGATCTCGACCTAGCATTGACTTGTGCTGCAGCAGTTGAATCCCATATGGCACTACCGGGAGACACGGCATGGTTACTAGCTGCAGATACTCTGAAGGTGCGCGACCATCCAGGTGTTTCAAGTCTTCACTCAGTGGGCAAGGTGTTGTATGTTGAGGAGAGGCCGACACACATCGACAGGTCGTCTCCAGATGTGGATGCAATCTACGAGTCATGGGCTGTATGGTGGATCCTAGCATTTGAAACGGAGGCTTTGTTGCTTTCTCATTCCAACTTTGGTTGGAGTGCCGCAGAGATTGGCCAGCGTCGATCGTTTCACTTTCCTTCCTGCCGGCCAGCAGACGTCACCAGCCCGTAGGACAGACGTGTTATGTCGCGTCGGCGTGAGTCGGAGCAAGATTCAGTAAGGACGGTGTGCGGAAAAATGTCGCGCTGTCAATAGCACAGGAGCCGGGCCGGCCGCGGCACCCGCTCCCCCACAGAGGCTGCGCCTTGTCTCCAACTAGTTTTAGGTTCACAGGCAGCTGAGCTGAGCCCAGGGTATCAGTCAGAAGCGTAAGCTTTGCAATGAAGCGCAGCGAGGCTTTCCAGTCATGTTCAGTAAGCCTCAAGCCGAGCTGGTGCACATGAGTAGAGGCAGAGGACAGGAGGGTGATGACTGGTGATTTCCTGCAGTTGCGGAGGTCGTAAGACCATGTACAGGTCGGAGCATGAATCGGAGCATGACGATACCTTGATGGTGCCCCGCGAGGTTTGTCAGTTGCAGGGCATTCTTCTAGGTCCTGATGCTACCCTGAGTTTCTCTTCAACGACGAATTCTGGCATGCCACGGCAGCTTAGTCCGACAGTGTCCGTCTTCGACCAGCGTGATACTGGTAAGCGAAACTGTTCCGTTTACAAGGATCGTCAAGCCTTCAAGCAGCCCCTTCCTCCCACGCCCCGCACGGGTCCCCGAACCTCGCCTGGAACTCGGCCCACTGTCATCTTTCCGACTTCCATTGAATCCGAGGTGCTCAATACTTCAGATATCTTCAGGGTATGGCTTCAAAAGGCTTTAGGAAGAGCGAGTGTTGAGCCGACAGCAGGTGCCTTCACAGCAGATCCGCAATGACTCTCCCCCCCGGCGGTGGCAGGACCTTTGCTAAATCAGTCTCGTTTGGTTACTTTCCCATCAACATGGATAGGAGTTGCTGGACAACGTGGCAATTCCTGACGCGACTTGCAAGAAGCTACGGCACATGATGATACGGAGGCTGTTGAAGTCTCGCATGGTGATCTACCAGGCTTGTGCAACGATCAGGCCTCAACTGGGCAAAGGAGGCCACTCAAGGTCAGTGGCACCACGAAGATCGAAGTCACCGGCGGAGGCCGCGTGCTCCAAATTCTCTGAGTGAGCCTTGGAGTGTCATTGGACAATCTTGGACATGTGATGTGCCCTTGCCAATGCCTTGCAGCGCAGGCACTGTCGAATGCACACAGAACGCCGAGCCGAAAGAGATCGCACGGGAGCAAGCAGGACAGTACAGCTTAATACCGCAAGTCTTCCAGCATTGTCCAGCCATGGCGGAGTGCAACTTGGGCTGTTCCAGGCCTTGAAGCCAGCCGATCTGCTCAAGGACGGAAACATCCAAAGCCTGCCACTTGGGGTTCAGCGGTTCAGCACCACCATGGCGGAATTCCGAAGTTCAAAAGATGCCGAGGCTGGGCAGACCTTGGTCTCGGAAGCATCGGATACGAAATGAGGCGCATCGGATTCTACGAAGTGACTGCCGGGCCCGAGCTGCTGAAAAGTAACGCGCCAGTGCCAGGTCCGCGAAAGAACCCGAGGCCGAGGCTCGGCCGAGCGAGCCGAAGCCGGTCACCAGCCCAACGCGCCAAAGCAGGGACCCCCGGGTTTCTCCCCACAGGAGGAGGCCGCAAAAATCCGCAGAACTTTGCACACGCTGAGGTTTGCAGCGCGAGCTCAAGGCCACGCTTTCACGCTGTCATGGCCCTCCCCTGCAAATACTGCAGTGCGCAGGACCACCTCTCCATGCGGAGGCCCAGCAGCCCAAGGTGCTTCCCTGTGTATTGGATGCGGTGCATCTGGATTGTGGAATCGTGCGCGCCTGAAAATTTAGGTGCCGGAGGCCGTCCGTCGGGGGCAAGCCCACTGTGCCGGATGTATCTCCAGTCCTCAAAAGGCAGCCGGTGGGACGGTAACAAGAAGCCAAGTCCACTCACTTGAAGTCTGCTTGTTCAGGCCAGCTTCCGCTTGCGGTCTTCGTGCCTTGAAGGACGATGTGCTCCGCAATGATCAGCACTTTTGGACGTTGCCTCCCTTCCAGGGCTGTTGGGTACATACTTGTAGTTGCTACAGGTACTAGGATGTATTGTTTGAACATGTCTGCAGGGCGCAGCCTTGAACGTGACATGCAGGACTCCACGTCTATGATATATCTTCAGGCCGTGACAGTGAGGTGCAGGCATACACACACGGGGTTGCCGCATGTGTGCGAAGAGGTTTGCGAGAGTCAGAAAGTGCTGCCAAGGCCCGCAGCCGTTGCCCAAATGAACTGACCTGTGCTCCGGTGCTCCCTGGAGGCCAGCGCCAATACTGACAGGCCACTCCTCCAAGCTCGATGCGCGGAATCAGGCGGAGTTCACGAGTCGGGCAAGTTTAGCTGCTGTACGCTGCCGTACCAGAATCTTCTGAGGGCCTCACAGACGACGAGCTGGAAGCGTGCCGCATCGCCATCGCTGCTCTCTCCAAGGTCGAGTCAGTCGACCTAGAGGCAGCCACCTAGGTCTCCGTATTTCAGAATCGCATAGAATCGCGCAATCAGCAGGAAGCTACTCAGCTGCATGGTTCTGGTGCAAGCTGAGCATGACCCGAGAAGAAACTTAAGCATGTCCGCCTTCACATTTGCAGCTGTGCTTGCTCCTAAACACAAAGCCGTGCATGGGATGTTAACACTAGACGTTGTGGAGGTTGCAGCAACCGCTAAGGGCCCGAGGGGGGGTAAGCCACGAGCTACCAGAGGCAACAAGGCTACCAAATTCGATTTTACCGCGGGTCTGCCCTGACACCAAAGTGGCCTTTCGCGCCAGCCGCCACGACGACGTCAGAACGCATAATCCCCGTGTCAGGGAGCGCGGGTGTCAGGCGTCAGCCATCGTCAGCCATATCGGCCTATGCGTACACATGCCCAATCAACTTTTAAAACTGAATGTCGAAACGAGCGGGTTTAGGGGAAGAACGACAGGCTTCACAAAGGTTTTGGGGGTTTTGGCACTAGTTTAGGGTTTAGGTTTTGCGATGAGGGTTGTCAGTTTTTAAGTGTTGGGTTTTGGCATTGGGGCTTAGGGTTTTGGATGGTTTTGGGATTGGATTTGGGGTTTTGGCATCAAGGCTCAGGCTTTTGGTTCTGCGATTAGGGACTGTGACTAGGGCTAGGGTTCAGGGCTTGGTTGTAAACTTAGGAACACTGATTTCGGGTTTTCTCGGCTGTTGGCACTAGGGTTTAGGGGTTTGTTGGTTTTGCGATGAGGTTTTAGGGGTTGGAGTTTGGGCATTAGGGGCTTTACTTTGGTTTTGCGATTAAGGCGTAGGCATTAGGATAGTTTGGGGTGTTGTGGGTTTGGCATGTGGGTTTAGGGTTTCGGGTTGTGGCATTACGGTTTTAGGGTGTTGATTTCATGAAACTAGGGTTTGGGGTTGTGGCATTCGGCCACCGAAGCACAAAAGGTATAATGTTAATTAGCAGCAGCAGCACGTCGAGTTTGCTTGGGGATATACTCTTTCACAGCATCCTGTAGGTGTTTTTCAAAACTTGCAAGACTTAGGGATTCTTGGGGTTAGGGGCTTGCCTAGTAGGGCATTGGGTTCGTGGCCGTAAGCCTCGGGCATTGAGTTATCACGAAAGCAAGCTCTGGGGAGCTTGCGGAAAGTCTGGTTTTTCATTCAGTTGCCTGAGAACTCGGCCAAAATCGTGTGCAGAACCTTATCCCGTAGTTGAAGGGGCGGGGTGGGGGGGTGATTGGTTCAGAGCTACAACTGCAATGGGCGGGTGCCCCTCGTTGTAACAACGAGGTTGTATTGAACAAGGTCGGGGGGGGGGGGGGCGGCCCCCCCTCGCCTCCTTTGGTGCCCCCCTCCCCTCCACCTTAAGGCCATCCGTTTACGCAGCATGGCAGCTTGCATCTTGTCTTTAAGAGGCCGAGTGCGTCTACTTAGCAGGTTTCAAGTCTGCTGCCTCAGTAATTCGAAGCCGCTCGTAGAGGCCGAGTTATTGCTTATGCACGGAAATTTCATGAAATTCCGGAAGGTCAATGACATCGGTCAAGGTACTCCGGTCCGACAAGGGCGTATCTGTATGTAGGCCAATACAAAGCAGAAGAACACGATCATTTTGCAGGTTGAAGCTTCATGGCAACACATAGGTGCTTGTATCCAAGCTGCCGCGCGTGCACACAATAACGACCGAGCTCTATCGACTCTGCTTCCCTTTGTTGCCCTAGCTTAGTTGACTTGTTGGCTTGTGGCTTATAGGGTTCTTGGACGTAGGGTTTATGGTTCTTGGGTTTAGTGTATTTAGGGCATAGTATGGTGCAGTATAGTAAGTAGAGCAGAGTGGAAAGTAGAGCAAAGCAGACTATACTGGACCAGACTAGCGTCGAGCAGAAAAAAGTAGAGGAGGAGAGCAGAGAACAGCGTAACATAACAGTAAAGTTAAGTAGAGTTGATTTCTAGCAGAGCATCCATCGATCTATATTCGCGTTTATACATATTACATTTGTATACAAATACTCTACAGTGCGTATGTATGTGTATATTATATATGCCATGTGTAGAGTTTGGCAGGCTTGGGTGCACATGTATCATCTGCGATCGACATCATGCCTTTTGGCTCAAGCCTTGGCAGTTGAGCCAAAAAGGCAGGATTTTGTTGCCATTAGCTTGCGGAGGCGTCCCGCTTATTATGGCACATGTATTTGATCAGGAGCCACCTGAGGTCTTTGCATACGTGTTCAGTCGCTTCGCTGTGCACACTGAGGCCCAGGTGTTGCACCCAGCGGCCATGTTGGATCTCAGGGCTCAGCTTCGGTATTTGGTTTCCGAGGGTCGGAATGAGGATGCTGCCAGGCTGTGGGCTTCAGCCCTTGAGATCCAGCATTACCCTCCTCCCCCTCCACTGCTTGACGGGTTGCCTGCAGGTCTGCCACCTATCCGCACGGTCCCGTGTGTGGTCACGGACTGTGCCCGGTGCGCCCAGAGCCGTGGAGGGTTCCAGCTGCCTTTTGTGGGTACATTCACACATGCAGCAGCAATTGTCCGCCCAGGGAGTGACCCGGCTCAAGCGTGGAGTGCTTACCATGCATGCCGCTCCTGTTTGTCGCCGGGCGACATCACGGCCCTACATTCGGGCCTTTGGCCTACCGACTTGCTGCCGAACCACCTCTACGCGCTCTTCTCTCGGGTGGCTGAGCAATCCCACCCTCGGGCAGCCAGCTCGGACGAACTTTGGATTATTTTCAGACGGTGGCAGGCCGGGAACCGGGTTTGGATTGAGCCCGGAGTGGAAGTGCCATCCTGGGCGGCCGGCCGGGAGGATGCCCGAGCCCGGGCACATCGAACCTTGTGGCTTTGGTTGGGGGCCGTGGCCTTTGGACCCGGCCTCTTGCCCTTGGCCTGTCACAGTTGCGGCTCTCCGACAGTTTTCCGCTGCCGGCGGTGTGACGCAGCGGCCTGCGGGGACTGCCTGGGACGATGCATTCGGTGCGCGTGAGAGCGTGCTGCCTTGGAAGGGGTGTTCCCTTTATTCTGGCAGGTCTGGGCCGGCAGCTGCGGAGGAGACCGCAGGCATATTATTATACCGGGGTGGCGACCCCCGATGCCCTTGGACTAGGGCCGCATCCAGGAGTGGACCTGGGGCTGTCTCCGGCGGTGGCGACCCACCTGGTCTTGAGTCCCTCTCCTGCTCTGCTTTTGTTGTGGCCCTCGCAATCATCTTCTTCCACGGCTGCCTCTCGGCTCAGGCCTTTGCTAGCAGCTGCGATGGCCGGCGTGTACGCGCAGCAGTCGCTTGAGGCGGCAGGAGATGGCGACAGCCAGCCCGGACCATCCTCTGGCCTCTTCGGGGAGGGCACCCCGGTAGAGGTCAGAGTCGATGCATGGCGCCGCGCCTTCGGCTTGTCGAGGACGAGGAGTTCGCCTATGTGTTCATGTCAGCAGAAGAGGCACAGAGGCAAGCAGGAGCCGAGATCGCAGCGGCCTGGCGTGAGGTCCGCGAGCGAGTGGATGAAGGCAAAGCTCTGGCCTTCGCGCACGAAGCGGCCAGGGCTGGTGCGACCTCAGCCAAGCCTTCGATGAAGCCTCGGCCACCTTTACCTCGGCGACGTGCAGCAGTGCCTAAGGCACCGTTGCAGGCCCGGCCCCCTGTGGAACGCGCTGCCTTGGAGACACCATTGGTCGAGGAACTCGCCGACCTTTGGGTAGATGCCAAGGTCCAGCGCTCGAGCGGCGAGCTCAACGCGGGGCGCCAAGCTGAGTGGGAAAGCTTCGTGAGGCGCCGAGCCGCGAAGGTGTGCAGCGAAGCGGAGGTTGCCACGATCAAGAAGGCCGTGGTCTCCCTTCGCGAGCTCCAGCATTTCCAGGTAGCCAGGGGCCGGGGCCGAGACGGGGCTCGAGGAAGTGGACAGCCTGGACCTGGATGCTTTCATATTCAACTCGGCCGCTCCTCACCGTGCCGTGGCGGGCTTACGATGGGCTGCCAAACAGGCGGAGCTAACCTGGAGGATCCCGGACGCGCCGCGGACCGAACAGCGCCGAAAGCCCAAGGAGGAGCGACAGGCCACACTGGCTGAGCCGGCAAACAGCGCCGTCTCAGGCAGGGCTTCTACTTCGCTATTCCGGCCTCGTTCGCCTCCCCGAGCCTTGGAAGGCAGCCTTTGAGGCCTTGCCTAGGGGTAGGCGGAGCCAGTGTGGGCTCTGCTTCGACAATCGAGGCTTCTCCTGGTTTTCAAAGAGTCTACCCTGGCCGTGCAGGCAGCGTTCACGGATGTGGTGGCCAATCCGGAGGAGCTGACCTCCTATAGCTGGCGTCGGTTGGGTCCCTCGTTGGCGATGTTGGCGCAACTTTCTCCGGGCGAGTCGAACGCCCTGGGGGATTGGCAAGACAGAGTCTCGGACCAGAGGAGCGCCATGCCCGTCCACTACAGTGGCTTGCGCTATAAAGAGAGCGTCCGTGTTAAACACCCACTTGTATTTGGGAATCGCCAGCAGGAGGGAGACTTTTCCTGTCTGGCTTGCCGCTGAGGGAAACCAGTGGCCAATTCCCGACGATCCATTTGCAAATTACTTGTATGGAGCAAACCCCCGAACAACGGGGGGGCATAGCTCTCTGCAGCCGGAACCTGCTCTTTAACATTGCGGCCAGGCGGTCCAGAGAAGAAGAATGGCTCCGCATCTTCAGTGAGGTCGCCCGCACGCTCTTGGCCGGCCACAATGTTTTACTTCACTGTATGGCGGGCCGGCACAGAGCCGCGACCAGCGGCGTCGCATGCCGCGCAGTGCTGGCCCAGGAGGAGGCGACCCAGGCGATCCTGAGAGTTCGGGAGATCGAGGTGGGCCGCGCTATTCAGCAAGACCGTAGCCTGGGTGTGTGGTTGGCGGGGGCCGTGCGTAACACACGTGTCCCACCGACACCGGTGCAACCGCGGGGGTACATCGCCACCGGGAGCTCGCATCTCCATCTCGAGTCCCCGGAGGAAGGCGTCCCCATCTGCAAGCACA